CTCTATCTTTCCGTCTTATGTCGCGGAATCTCCTTTACCGATATGCAAGACCTCTGTGCGCAATCTTGATGATTCCGGGGCTCTACCTTTAAGGTCAACAAGAAGGTACCCAAAAGGCTTCTTCGTTGCCTCTTCGAATTCCCGGATAAAGAAGTCCGCTCGAGAAGGATACATCTGTCGGTTAAGAGTCATTATTGGCTGTCGATCAATTGTGTTATTAAAGAGAACGAGATAATGACAGTTTAATCTCTGGCTTGGGTCAAAGTATAAGTTCTGATTTAAAACGGCTACCGATAAATTTCTATGGTGACTCCCTTCCGTAAACAAATCATTTATTCTTGAGTCTTTGGCCGATGTGGACATGAGGTCGTCTAATGTTTCGAATGTCGGGATCGAAAACGTCACTCTCGAGATCGAAAGGAATTCTAAGAATAAAATTCAACGCGTGGAAGTACTGCTCGTTGTATTTCCTCGTAAAGGGGTTGCCACCTTTTATACAACCAATCGATCCTTCCTGGACTTGGACTACACAACCTTTTTATTTGTTGAAGCATATTTTTCATGAAATGAGTTTTTCCGCAGGATGTTGGACCGGACACGATCATGGTGAAAGGGTGTCTAAACAGGAAAGCTTCCTACTGATGCTTCTGCTGTTGCTGCTGTTGCTGTTGTTGTTACTGCTGCTGCTGCTGGTCTAGATCTTGGTGGTATATTTGCTCATTGGAAGAATGTTTACAACTCATATGTCTTCGAAGATCGTGCGGCCTCACATACACGCTTCGACAAAGATTGCAATTATACATATTCATATTTTCCCTAATAAGAGTGTGTAGTTTTCTCTTATAGATATTTTACTTCACTTCCTTCGAAAGTGTAGCAAGAGAAATACGTGCTCATCTTTTAGACGGCATATTTGCAGACTATCGTCTCTCAAAACAAATTCACCGTAATACAATTCGTTCCTGTTCACTGTGATATTGATTGGTTTTATCAAATTAACGTGACGTCCGTTATATCTTCATTCAATAAGCCTATCGACTGTATAATAGGAAGAGACGTTTCCCTAACGTACGACTTGTCCTCGAAATTTGAACAGAGGTAAATGCGTCTCGTTGAGTCGTCGAATTCTGGTACGAACAACAACTCCAATAATGCAAATTCCCACGATCCATCCAAAGTATACCGTTTAGGAAGGTACACTTTTAAATTGCCACCTACGTTATGTTCAAACGCTGAAAGCGAGTCTTCGCTATTTATAAATAAGTAAAACTCGTCCATAGTGTTAATTCCAGTTTAACCTTTAGTTTACTCTTATAGCTTTATTATACATATAGTTTACCTCAAAACCAGAGGCGGATCCAGACTGTCCGAAACGGGGGCCCACTAGGCCCGCTACATTTTTTGAATTTGTAAAGGGGGGCCCGGACCCAATTTTGTCCAAAAATGTCAGTGATTTTTAAAAATTTTCTTAGATTAGGGGTGAGAGTGGCCCCACTCCCCACCCTTTGTATCCGCCTATGAAAACCGCATTTAAGAAATAATCGTAAATAGTGTTGTGAATGAATATATTTGTGCAGGTTATATTATAACTCAATTTGTGTAGACGTCTATAAAACTTTTGTCGTTTCTGTATAAAGTCAATGTCTCATGAGTGAATCTTCCTTTAATATCTCTGTTCCTTAAGCATTTAGTTATGTTCGTCATTTATTCGGAATCATAAGTTGACTATATAATAAAATTTAGAATGGAAATGGGGAATATGTCAAAGAGACAACAACCCGGCCAAAGAGCAGATAACAGCCGAAGGCCACCAATGGGTCTTCAACGCAGCGAGAAAATCCCGCACCCGGAGATGGTCCTAAGCTGGCCCCTAAATAAAAATGTGTATTAGTTCAGTGAAAATGGACGTCATACTAAACTCCAAAACATATAAATGAACTAAAATTAAAAAACATACAAGACTAACAAAGGCCAGAGGCTCCTGAAATAGAACAGGCTCAAAAATGCGGCGGGGTTAAACATGTTTTGTGAGATCTCAACCCTCCCCCTATACCTCTAGCCATTGTAGAATAAAGAAACACACAGCGATACGCACAGTACAATTCAGTTTAAAAGAAGTCCGAGTCCGATGTCAGAACAGGTAACAAAAGAAACTAAGCAAAATGAAAATGATACATAAATTAACAAAGGACTACTAGCAGTTACTGACATGCCAGCTCCAGACCTCAATTAAACTGATTGAAAGATTATGTCTTCTTCATATAAAAATCAAGTACAATCCTTCCCGTTATATTAGAAGAACATAACCCGTATCATGCCAACAACTGGTTTTAGAATAAATGTGTTTATTTCCGATGCAAAGACCCTATGAGTGAATCAACATTAATACCAAAATATGCAATCCTTAATGACTTGACAACAGTATTGTAACTATATCCCTTCCGAATAAGTCTGTTTAAAGGTTTGGTTAGCTTTTGAGGTGAATGCCGACATTGTGCTTTGTAAAGAATATTACCATAAAAGGTTGGATGTGAAATACCTGAACGTATAAGATGTTTGCATGTTAATTTATATTTACGAATGGTGTCCTTGTATCGATCATAAAATAATATAAGCATTTGTTGACTATTGAAGAATAAGTCCTTTATTTATAGGAGAAAAGGTAATATTTTACTTTATAAAGACATAAATTTATTTTGATTGGACCGTATGATATATATCATTATTGCTTATTTCTTACCAAGAGCCGCCTACATACCAAGCCAGTATCGTCTTATTCAAACCGGTTCTCGTTTCTCTGCACGGAAATAATTCCTTTTCGTGCACCTAAAACTTCAACACAAATTTTTAAAAATGGAGGATTAAATTAAAAAAAAAAGAGATAAAATGTTACTAATATATTAATAATGATAATTTGAATTGTTTTATTGTTTTAGTTATAATCATAAACATTGTTACCTGTATATGCATTAATATAAGTAATACTTGTTGTACATGTTGTATTTTCCCTGTGGTCACTATATGAGGGTATGGATGGGGGTCTTTCATTTCTGTATTCTTTAATTTTTCGCTCATTATTCTTTATCCTTAAAAACAATGGCAATTCTGTAATTACTTGCTTACTGTTGTCTGCAAATTGTTTTTTTCTGTAATCAGTATATTTTTACCCTATTCTGTAATTTTTGCAGTTATTCTTTATAGTTTAGCCCCCATTATTTTCTATTCTTTTTTTTTTTTTTTTGCCCATATTTCTCTTTTCTTTATTTTTCTTGCCCATTTTTCTCTATTCTTTTATCCCCCCCATTATTCTCCATTCTGTAAACCCCTTGAAGCTGGACACGGGACGCAGACGCCATACCTTATTGTTCGACAAGTCTACCCTCCAAGGTGGACGCGAATAGTTACGCCATACCTTATTGTTGGACCAATTTACCCTCGAAAGTGGACAATTATTTAAGTTAAAATTAGAACTGGTGTTTATATATCAGCATAATTAATAATATATGTATTTCATAAACCTGTACTGATATTAATAATTTTGCAGGTGTTTTGATTTTGTTTTTTTAAGTTCTTTGATGTAGCATTCGAAATGCTTTTAATATATTTTCAACACACAATCGGCTTAGAACAATTAAGCAACGCCTTCTGTATTTAACTGGAACCTTTCAGCGGGTGATATATAAGTACAATTTCTCACGTTTCGTTAGTATAGGGAGAAATTATTGTATGTACGGTACTAGCGTATAGTTTTATAAGTTTACGTCACTAGGTATAAGACAGGTGACTAATTTTATAGCAGGGAATTTTTTTCCCAGAGACTATCACTTTCTAGCGCGCCACAGACAGGGGAACATTCAAGTTCCATTCATATTATGAATATATTATGATACATGTATTTATATGTTTTCAAAACTTTACACGTCCGAGTATGTCTCGTGAGACGACTTGTCGCATTGGGTCGGACCCAGGTTTCCAGTTTATCCCATTACTGGCCACGGTTTGTTTGGTTGTTCCTGGCCTGCGAGGTCGTTCATGATCGAGTTATTCATTTATTCAGTTATTCAGTTTACATTCATGTCAACCATATAATAGTTTTTGTTTGTATTAGGTCTACATTATTCTAGCTAAGTTGTACCTGATAGTATATCCATGATTTCGTCATTCGGGGTAATTAAGATTATTGTTTTTTCATATGTATATATATATATATATATATTAGGATACATATATGTAAATAATTAATAAATTCCGTTGTCCACTATACTTGCTGGGTTATCGGCAATACTATATGTATTATATTCATTCATGCCTTCATAGAATAATAGATAATATGAGCGTATAGGGTATACCTCCATCTATATTTTCATAATTTCAATGTTTTTGAAGCTAAAGTTGCTCATTTCCAAAATGCAGTTAGCAAGATATATGTATATGCTAGAGTTAATATGGTGCTGTTTTATTCCTATTTATTTGCATGCTACATGTCTTTGTTTTATTTGTAACTTATTGTATACGTTTTTATATTCGGTGAAAAGCTCATTAGAGCTTATGTTTAATATGTTTGTCAAATATGCCGAATCCAAATAAAGTTTTACTTACATCTTTTTTTACTTTGTTTTGTTGAATATTATAATCTTGGTTTTACTAAGATTAACAGATATATTCCATTTATCACAAATTAAATATAAAGCATTTTGCAGGCCAGATGTAGATTCTGACATTACTACTTAATCGTCTGCATACGTGATGCTAGTACTGCATTAGGTTATGTGAAGTTCAAATTAAATACATGATTTCAAATGTCATCTCCATGATATAAACTTTTAAATTAGATATGAAATCATGGAAGTAATTGAGTGATAATATTATGCAAAATGTCCCCGGAAAAATAGCATGTTAATTCCGCGTATGTTTCCTTTATTGGTCTATCTTTATCTACAAAACGTTTAATATTACGGAATTTTAACAATTTTACAATAACATCAATTTAACCATCCAGCGCCACATAATTTTAACCTTGGTCGCAAATACAATAACAAAATATTTCTGAAAATCAGCTCGTGCATTAAATATATGAAAGTGTTGGCACTAACGATTCATATTGTGCTCACCAAATGAACCTTTGATTTACGTGTTTCTGACTGAGAAAATGAAACCACATAATTCCATCGTGTCTCAAAGCCAAAGGTAAAAAGTTGCAGCTGATCACCAACAACGTGAATATCAGCATGATGAGAAATGAGACGCAAATTTAGTTTAAAATGTTGTGTATCATGTCTACTTGCCATATTTTTATTTTCATTTTTCATTCTTATTTATTCAACGATTAACCACATTGACAATTATCCACCAGAACAGAATGCGAATAGACAGCATTTTATTCCAAGGAAATATCCATTTGTAAAAGTAACACAGAAAGGTACCAACAATGATAACTCAGAATGCCATGACCTGAAAGATCAGCATAATGAGAAAGTTGAACTACATTATGACATTTCCACTTTGAATTTGCTGGGTTTCATCGAAACACCTGAAGATCAAATTGTTAGAGATGAAGGTGAGATTCATCATGCACATTCACAATACAGATAAAGGTATGACTTGTTTTTGTGAAAAATCATACACTTTAGGCTGACAGCTTACCAGCCATACATGCTAGGCATACATGTAAACCCCTATCAACAGGAAAATTTAGTGAAAGACTTCCATTTCAACACCCTCCTCCCTTTTTGATAAAATACGTTTTGTAAGCAAAAATATTCACAAGTAAGAGGGTTTCAAATGGAAGTCTTGCCAAATTTGGATCAGTACAATTGAAATATATATTTCTTGGTACAAAAATCATTGAAAATGTAAATAATGAAATTTAGTAGGATTAGTATAATGTACCACGGTGAGAGATCAAGTCTACCTTTGGTTCAGTTTCGCTGATTTGTGCCAAAATTAAGGGTTTCTGGACTTTGAAAATTTACAGTTCAAAAACAAACAAACTTTCATTCTCAAATTTCCACTCCTACAAAATGGCTTTCAAGTTTTTTTTGCAAGCAGGGCCATTCATGTCGTTTCAACACATCTAGTTTGATTGAGTCCTTGAGATATAAGATGCCTGTTTTGAGAACATTTTGTGTTTCCTGATGGAAAACTTTTGATACTAACTTCAATTTTTGTAATCAACCCCATCCTTGAAGGGAATAATCAAACTCATAAGTCAAAAACATCACATCTCCTGATTAGAAAAACAGATGAAAGCAGATCCTGCTCCACATGTTGCACCCATCCTGTTACTCATGTAAGTACATTCAGTAGGTCACATTCAAGAAAATGAGGTTGGGATTGTGGTTACAATAATTGGAAAGTGATTTTCAACTTACAGTACCCACAGAGAGGACTGATTCTCTAACTCCTAACACTGACTGGTGTACAAATGGTGTAACCACCCTGCCAACTATCCTGATTTATGGGGGATATCCCCTATTAGAGGTGTTGACATGAATTTTGAAATTCTTTATTATATAAACTGAAAACCACAAAACAAGCATTCAAATGAGTTAAAGGGTATTTAAGCACATAGATTAAAGACACTTATGACAATATAAGAGGAGAATTAGGTCCTATTGCTCTTAAAATACCCTATGGAGATTTTGAAAAGTTGGCCGGTATATGTAAAACAGTTTCACACTGTGAAAGACAGATTTCTCTCAGAAAGTACTCCCAGTAATTACTCCCATCTGGGAGGATTTTATGACCTATTGATTGCAGGTAAAAGTAATAAAAATCAACAAAGCATAACTGTATGGTCTGACATGAATTAATTACAGTGACATGTAATTTCAACTTATATTCTAATTACTATTTCAATTAATTCCTATTAAGTTTTATTTCTGAAATATCTAAAAAGGTTATGAAATGATTTTTTTTTTATTTTTATAAAAGTATGTATTAATATTTGTTTTTGTTTCTCTTGCTAGATTGGAAAATTATTTACTTTCTTTCATAATCAAGAATGGCAAGTTGATATTTATATTAGTTGTATTTGTAGTCAGGTTAAAGAATAATGATAATTATATATACATGTAAGGATAAAAACAAATAAAAAATGAAAAAGAAAAAAGATTATAATATATATTTTTTCCTTTAATTTTTATTCCAATTTAGGGGGGGGGGGTCATAAGTTATGTCTCTTTTAAATGGGAAAATTGCTGAATTTACAGTTTCCATACTCTTACTTTACTTTGCCATTATAACCAAGTTTTCTGAAACTTTTAAACAATGCTTATTACCACAAACACAGATCAAGTTTGAATTTACAAAAATGTAGGTGGCATAACTTTCACTGTTCTTGAGTTATGTCCCTTTATAAATGGAAAAATTGCTTAATTTGTCATTCCACACTCTTACATTGTACTTTACTAAACCTCAACCAAATGTTCTGAAACTTATACACAATGATTTTTACCACCAAACACAGATCAAGGTTAGGGTGGCGTCACCTTTAGTTCTTGAGTTATGTCCCTTTATAAACAGAATAGCCCTATTTACTGTTTTGCACACACTCTATTGATTTAACTGTTCTTGGGTTATGTCCACCCTCTAATTGTTGTATGTACTGACCGAACGTTTCATTTCCATGCTCGAAAGTTTGAATTAGTACATTGGCTCTTGCATATTTACAAGCGGGGGCATCTGTTTCCCATGGACATGTTCTTCTTTTATTTCCTATGTAAAGATATTATATCTGATTACCATTATATATAGATTATTGTCTTCATAGGTTATAGATCTCATGCATTTAATGTATTGATCAGTGATCGCCTTGGTTACCATAGAGCTTTACCAGACAACAGACATCCAAAGTAAGTAATATCCATAGATACAGGCAAATCTCATGCCTCAGATACAGGCAAATCTCATGCCTTAGATACAGGCAAATCTCATGCCTTAGATACAAGCAAATCTCATGCCTTAGGTACAGGCAAATATCATGCCTTCGATACAGGCAAATCTCATGCCTAAGATACAGACAAATATCATGCCTTAGATACAAAGAAATATCAAGCCTTAGATCAAGGAAATCTCATGCCTTAGATACAGACAGATCTCATCCCTTAGATACAGGCAAAACTCATGCCTTAGATACAGGCAAACCTCATGTCTTAGATACAGAAAAATATCATGTCTTAGATACAGACAAACATCAAGCCTTAGATGTGGAAAATCTCATGCCTTAGATACAGGGAAATCTCATGCCTAAGATACAGACAAATATCATGCCTTAGATACAGATAAATGTCATGCTTTAGATACAGGGAAATCTTGTGCCTTAGCTACAGGCAAATCTCATGCCTTAGATACAGACAAAAATCATGCCTTAGATACAGCGAAATCTCATGCCTTAGATACAGGCAAATCTCATGCCTTAGATACAGACAAACATCATGCCTTTGATACAGGCAAATCTCATGCCTTAGATACAGACAAATCTCATGCCTAGATACAAGCAAAACTCATACCTTAGATACAGGCAAATCTCATGTCTTAGATACAGTAAAATCTCATGTCTAAGATACAGGCAAATATCATGTCTTAGATGCAGGCAAATCTCATATCTTAGATACAGGCAAATCTCATGCCTTAGATACAAGCAAATCTCATGTCTTTGATACAGGCAAATCTCATGCCTTGCATGGGTAAGACAATGGGTTACCATAGAAGATTACAAGACAACAGATACCCAAAGTAAGTTACAAATAAGAAATAATGATATATAGAAAAATATATTGAAAATGAGATAAGAAAAAAATATCTGACGAGCTATAGAATTAGCTGGACCACAGCACAGATGACACTTTGATTTTGAATACCAAGAAATTAAAAACATGGGAGTTCTTCAGCAATACCAAATTGATGAAAATGAGTGCACACAAATTGCAAAGAAAAGTACAATACAGTACTTTTCAGTTGTAAGATCTTTATTTATTATTGACAAGTTTTACATTCCATTGATCTTATTATAATTTTCAGTTGTCAGATTTTTATTTATCATTGACAATTTTTACATGCCAGTGATCTTATTATATTTTACAGTTGTCAGAGTAAGATCTACTCAACAAAGCTTCCCAGGGCAAGTGTTATAATATGCTTCTACAATGAAGCTCCTTCAGCATTGCTACGTACAGTCCACAGTGTGTTGGACCGTACACCAGCTTTTTTGTTACAAGAGATTTTATTGGTTGATGATAACAGTGACCTTGGTATGTATGTAGTTTATAGCATGTAAGATGGCATGTAACAGTTTTCATAAAAGAGATTTCAATAAGACTTCTTATATTTCTATCATGACTATATATTGGACCATGAATTTTCTCAATTCTCAATTCTATGTTATTGGTTGACTATAACAGTAATCTTGAAGGTTCTTACAATACAAATAACATGATGATTTTTGACCAAATTTAGTATGTTTTATCTTGGAAACTGTAACAGATGGACAAAACAAAAAACAACAAAATTTGTACAGCAAAATTGATCATCATAACATGATATATAGATAAGGTCATTTGACAGAAATTGTCATTTTTTAGCTCACCTGGCCTAAAATAGAACATAGGGGTAAAATGCAGATTTTGGCTTATATCTCTGAAACTAATGCATTTAGAGCAAATCTGACAGGAGAAAAGAATGTTCATCAGGTTAAGGTCTATCTGCCCTCAAATTTTCAGACAAATCAGACAACCTGTTGTTGGGTTGCTGCCCCTGAATTGGTAATTTTAAGGAAATTTTGCATTGGCACATCTCATTTCCATGGAGATTGTTCAGCCATGTACCTTCAGTCATGGTTCATCGACTTTGAATATTTGCATAACTTACATGTTAAAGTATTGCTATTTTAATTTCAACATTTGCATTATCAAAATTACAAAAAGGCGAGACATATCTCTGTGATAACAATTTATTAACAATTTTTCGTAAATTTGTGTAATTTTCAAAAATCTTCTCTTCTGAAACAACTGAGACAAATTTAACCAAACTTGGCCACAATCATCATTAGGGTATCTAGTTTAAAAAATGTGTCCAATGACCCTGCCTGCCAACGTTAACCAACATGGCCAACATGGCTAAAAATAGAACATGGGGTAGAATGCAGTTTTTGGCTTATATCTCTGAAACGAAAGCATTTACATCAAATCTGACATGGGTAAAAATGTTCAACAGGTTTAGATTTATCTGCCCTGAAATTTTCAGACAAATTGGACAACCCATTGTTGGGTTGCTGCTCCTGAATCTTTATAGTCAATTTTAAACAATTTTTTTTTTCATAAATTTTTGAAATCTTTTACAAAAATCTTCTTCACTTAATCTACTGGGCCAAATAGAATTAAATTTAGCCACAATTTTCAATAGGGTATCTTGATTGAAAAATATATCCGATGACCCTGCCATCCAACCAACATTGCCACCATGGCTAAAATTAGAACATAGGAGTTAACTATAGAAGTCTTAGGGAAAATTGTAAAAAAACAATTTCAAATGGTCACAACTTGAAAACTAATTTAAATAATGATAAGGGGTCTTCAGTAACTTTTGTAAGACTACAGTGGGATGGCCTGCTTTTGATTTAACTACTGGGCCAAGTTAAACTAAACTTGGCCTCAATCATTATTAGGGTATCTTATACCATTTATTATGATTTTAACCTTATTTTACATGATTTCCAAAACCACAGTAGATACAGGTGAGCGACACAGGCTCTTGAGAGCCTCTAGTTTTTCATTTTTGTCTATTATCATGAAAACTATGATATTTAGAGAGAAAACATTTTTTTCCGTTATGTCTTATATGATTTAAATTATAATAGATAAATAAACACTTAAAATCACAAAAATGATCAGCAAGGCAAGATCTATTAAAAAGTCAAATTTTACCAATATAGTTAGTAGACTGTCTCTCTTCATAAGAGTGATTGCCCTTAAATGAGGAATTTTTCTTACTGTCTTTTGTGTTTTGAGCAAAAACTAAAGAAGATAGAGAGAAACTAAACAGACTAAAAGATCACTTATACAAGATCAAGGTGTAATACCACCATTGATTTTCCCCTATTAGTCTATGTTAAATTTGCACTTTTCAAAAAATTGTGCAAAATTTATCTTTCTTTCAAATAAAGAATTACTTGGCACGAGTAAAGTTTTATCCTGTCCAGTACTATAGACAAAATTTCACGTAACATTTCATTGCATATAAGAAAATAACCATCACTGGAAGTTAACCAGTCAAATTTTCACCCCTTTTCTTCCTGTGTACAAGCTTTAGAAACCATGTAACCTTAAGTTTCCAAAATATTCTATAGAAACACCAAATAAAAAAATAAGGGTGCTTTGAAACACCCAAGAGATATGTTTATGACTCAGAAATTTTTTACTGCAATGAAATGTAGGATTAATTTCCTACAACTGTCAAATTCAAGGGAATATTTTTTTTCAACCCTTTTTCAGATGCAACCAGATGTGACGTACTAAGATTTGGTGGTATTACACCTAAAGAAGACTTTTTTGTTGAATAAACTGAATGTGATCGTTTTTCCTTCGTAAAACTGGTTATTTCAAGCATTGCTGTCAAGTTTTGTCATAATCAGTTCAATAGTTTGAGAAAAATCTAGTATAATGTATGACGACATCTACAGCGATTCGAGCAAAATTTCTTCGAAAAATCAAAATCAAGGTGCATCATGATAGAATGTAGTGTGGACCAATAAATGATCAAACATTTATCTCATCTGCCTACAAACAGTTGAATATGATACAAAAGATTACTCTAGGATGATAAATACCACTAATGGACCTCTATGTCTTCATTATAAGGTCCCTTTTGGTCCATTTACTGTGGATTCATTTATTTTCGTGGGTACCAATTTTCGTGGATTAAGGAAAACTTACATGTTCGTGGATACTTAATTTCTTAGTTTTACCGAAATCTGCTTACAAGACCATAGAAATTTTGTTTTTCGTTGAACATTTAATTTCGTTCTTCCCCTGTACCCACAAAATCCACGAAAATTGGTATCCAACGAATAATAATGAATCCACAGTATGCCTCTCATTTCCTCAAATTTCAACTTTTTAGGCCAATAAATAAAAATTTTGGGGTGACTTTCACTCATTTATGAAAGAAATGTGATAATAAATGAGTAATTGAAGTATTCAAGATGAATGAACTTTCCATATAAAAGTTTACTGACTCCATGGAGGTTTCAAAAAGTCTTTACGTAAAGCTTAAATTTACGCCACGTTCCAGAGAGGGACATAAAAAGCTTCCCTTTTAGTGAATAATTTGTTGTAACTGCTTCAAAAATAATTTCATTTACTAATAACTATATATTTATTAAAGCATTACTTAGGAAAAAGTTTTCTTATATAGCAAAATATAAGAAATAAGGAGAAAAACTTAGAAAAAGCTCCCCAAAACATTGAGTATGGCTTGCTCTGTCTACTAATATTCATGGTAGAGTACTAGTCCTATTTCAAGGAAATTTTCTCATAAAATGTGTTTTTGAGACTCAATCCACTTAAAATATTTCCTTTTTTGTAATATTTTACTTAAATAGCATGAAATTTTAACAAATGAGAGTACACACAAGATCAAAGGTGCATGTACAGCTTCCCATATTAGGTGTAATACCACCATTGATTTTAAAAAATATGGGTGCTTTGAAACACCCAAGAGATATGTTTATGACTCAGAAATTTTTTACTGCAATGAAATGTAGGATTAATTTCCTACAACTGTCAAATTCAAGGGAATATTTTTTTTCGACCCTTTTTCGGATGCAATCGGATGTGACGTACTATGATTTGGTGGTACTACACCTCAACAAAAATAGAAATCTTTTCTCGTCTACAGTACTAGTGTTGGAGAGTGTCCTTTGTTTGATATGCACATAGACCAAGGTGAGCAACACAGGCTCTTTAGAGCCTCTAGTTTTTAAACTCAAGATAAATTTATAACAAATTGATCTTTTTTTTTATGAACAAATTATTTGTATTTAAATAACCACACATTTGGAAATATTAATAAGGAGAATTTAATATTGGCACAAAATCAAAACATGCGGAAACTAACAAAAGCAAAGAAACAACTGTCATTTGCTGTTCTTCATTTGAAAGTCACACTGACCTCACAGCAAGTTCATCACAGCCCCTAGCACCAGTTTTAGGGGTAACTTGGCTACATGTCAATCAAGTGACCAGGTGACATCTGTCGATTTGTACATTTGATAATATCTGACATCTAATTATGAATATAATTATATACATAAAGGGAAAAATAATTTAACAAATACTGTCATAAATTGCCCAATAATTTCACCTCAAAATGAAGAAATAATTCAAACACTGAGACAACCAGGAAGCACATATTAAGTTAGGTAATATTGCAGGAAATAATTGATGTTTAGATACATGTTTGATAGAATCTACTCTTGGTTTTGAATCCTGTTCATTTTATTGTAGATTGATGTAACTACTAAAAATTGCCAAAATTATAGCTTTCAGCCATATTTAAGACTTTATGAATCATTTCAAAATTTCACAAAGTTCTCTTAAAATCTTAAACACAACAACTGCAATACTGAAAATTCCAGTGAAATATAAATTTTTTTTTTAGAAATGCCCTTACAGGTGTAATATAATTGTAGTTGAAGTAATGTTCCTATCTTATATAAGTAAAGAATGAAAATCTTATTTAGTTTCATTTGAATTTTATAATTTTAGACAACCTGTCATGTCAGATAGAAGCCTATGTGAAAAACAACTTGCATAAAGTAAGATACATGAGGACTGCCACAAGACAAGGACTTATCCGGGCAAGGATGTATGGGGCTAATCAGGCGGAAGGGGAGGTAAGCCTAATTAAGTAAGATACATGAGGACTGGCAAAAGACAAGGACTTATTAGGGCAAGGATGTATGGGGCTAATCAGACAGAAGGGGAGGTAAGCCTAATAAAGTAAGATACATGAGGACTGCCACAAGACAAGGACTTTTCAGGGCAAGGATGTATGGGGCTAATCAGGCAGAAGGGGAGGTAAGCCTAATAAAGTAAGATACATAAGGACTGCCACAAGACAAGGACTTGTCAGGGCAAGGATGTATGGGGCTAATCAGGCAGAAGGGGAGGTAAGCCTAATAAAGTAAGATACACGAGGACTGCCACAAGACAAGGACTTGTCAGGGCAAGGATGTATGGGGCTAATCAGGCAGAAGGGGAGGTAAGCCTAATAAAGTAAGATACATGAGGACTACCACAAGACAAGGACTTATCAGGAAAAGGATGTATGGGGCTAATCAGGCAGAAGGGGAGGTAAGCTTAATAAAGTAAGATACATGAGGACTGCCACAAGACAAGGACTTGTCAGGGCAAGGATGTATGGGGCTAATCAGGCAGAAGGGGAGGTAAGCCTAATAAAGTAAGATGCATAAGGACTGCCACAAGACAAAGACTTATCAGGGCAAGGATGTATAGGGCTAATCAAGCAGAAGGGGAGGTAAGCTTAATAAAGTAAGATACATAAGGACTGCCACAAGACAAGGACTTATCAGGGCAAGGATGTATAGGGCTAATCAGGCAGAAGGGGAGGTAAGCTTAATAAAGTATGATACATGAGGACTGCCACAAGACAAGGACTTATCAGGGCAAGGATGTATAGGGCTAATCAGGCAGAAGGGGAGGTAAGCCTAATAAAGTAAGATACATGAGGACTGCCACAAGACAATGACTTATCAGGGCAAGGATGTATGGGGCTAATCAGGCAGAAGGGGAGGTAAGCTTAATAAAGTAAGATACATAAGGACTGCCACAAGACAAGGACTTGTCAGGGCAAGGATGTATGGGGCTAATCAGGCAGAAGGGGAGGTAAGCCTAATAAAGTAAGATACATGAGGACTGCCACAAGACAAGGACTTGTCAGGGCAAGGATGTATGGGGCTAATCAGGCAGAAGGGGAGGTAAGCCTAATAAAGTAAGATACATGAGGACTACCACAAGACAAGGACTTATCAGGAAAAGGATGTATGGGGCTAATCAGGCAGAAGGGGAGGTAAGCTTAATAAAGTAAGATACATGAGGACTGCCACAAGACAAGGACTTGTCAGGGCAAGGATGTATGGGGCTAATCAGGCAGAAGGGGAGGTAAGCTTAATAAAGTAAGATACATGAGGACTGCCACAAGACAAGGACTTATCAGGGCAAGGATGTATGGGGCTAATCAGGCGGAAGGGGAGGTAAGCCTAATAAAGTAAGATACATGAGGACTGCCACAAGACAAGGACTTATCAGGGCAAGGATGTATGGGCTAATCAGGCGGAAGGGGAGGTAAGCCTAATAAAGTAAGATACATGAGGACTGGCACAAGACAAGGACTTATCAGGGCAAGGATGTATGGGGTTGTCAGGCAGAAGGGGAGGTAAGCCTAATAAAGTAAGATACATGAGGACTGCCACAAGACAAGGACTTATCAGGGCAAGGATGTATGGGGTTGTCAGGCAGAAGGGGAGGTAAGCCTAAATTCTGTTATGTGTTGTCTTTAGCTTATAAAGACAGGAATGGTATTTATTCTTAAGTTGAGGAATGCCTTATACAGGTTTAGAACAATAAAACCAACAACAAAAAAATGACTTAGAGGTTAACATAGTCTTCAACAATAGACATGTGTCACAGTTAACATAGTCTTCAACAATAGACATGTTTCACAGGTTAACATAGTCTCCAACAATAGACATGTGTCACAGGTTAACATATTCTTCAACAATAGACATGTGTCACAGGTTAACATAGTCTTCAACAATAGACATGTGTCTATACAATAAATTCAAATATGTGATGGCTAATGAAGGCCAGTGTAATGGTGCTTATTTGACAGAAGGAACATAAGCCATAACTCATAATTATATAATGACATATACATGTAAGTGACATGATGTGTTGGGCTTATTTGATAGAAGGGAAGGTAAGAATTAAATTGAGATTGATGGAGACTGGTAAGAGTCAAGTTGTATGGGGGTAGGGTAATCATTCAGAAGGTGGGGTAAGAGTCAGGTTGTATGGGGGTAGGGTAATCATTCAGAATGTGTGGTAAGAGTCAGGTTGTATGGGGGTAGGGTAATCAGTCAGAAGGTGGGGTAAGAGTCAGGTTGTATGGGGGTAGGGTAATCATTCAGAAGGTGGGGTAAGAGTCAGGTTGTATGGGGGTAGGGTAATCATTCAGAAGGTGGGGTAAGAGTCAGGTTGTATGGGGGTAGGGTAATCATTCAGAAGGTGGGGTAAGAGTCAGGTTGTATGGGGGTAGGGTAATCATTCAGAAGGTGTGGTAAGAGTCAGGATTTATGGGGTAGGGTAATCAGTCAGAAGGTGGGGTAAGAGTCAGGTTGTATGGGGGAAGGGTAATCATTCAGAAGGTGGGGTAAGAGTCAGGATGTTTGGGGTAGGGTAATCAGTCAGAAGGTGTGGTAAGAGTCAGGATGTATGGGGTAGGGTAATCAGTCAGAAGGTGTGGTAAGAGTCAGGATGTATGGGGGAAGGGTAATCAGTCAGAAGGTGTGGTAAGAGTCAGGATGTATGGGGTAGGGTAATCAGTCAGAAGGTGTGGTAAGAGTCAGGATGTATGGGGTAGGGTAATCAGTCAGAAGGTGTGGTAAGAGTCAGGATGTATGGGGGAAGGGTAATCAGACAGAAGGTGTGGTAAGAGTCAGGTTGTATGGGGGAAGGGTAATCATTCAGAAGGTGGGGTAAGAGTCAGGATGTATGGGGTAGGGTAATCATTCAGAAGGTGGGGTAAGAGTCAGGAAGTATGGGGGTAGGGTAATCAGTCAGAAGGTGGGGTAAGAGTCAGGATGTATGGGGTAGGGTAATCATTCAGAAGGTGGGGTAAGAGTCAGGTTGTATGGGGGTAGGGTAATCATTCAGAAGGTGTGGTAAGAGTCAGGATGTATGGGGGTAGGGTAATCATTCAGAAGGTGTGGTAAGAGTCAGGATGTATGGGGTAGGGTTATCAGTCAGAAGGTGTGGTAAGAGTCAGGATGTATGGGGGTAGGGTAATCAGACAGAAGGTGTGGAAAGAGTCAGGATGTATGGGGGTAGGGTAATCAGACAGAAGGTGTGGTAAGAGTCAGGATGTATGGGGTAGGGTTATCAGTCAGAAGGTGTGGTAAGAGTCAGGATGTATGGGGGTAGGGTAATCATTCAGAAGGTGGGGTAAGAGTCAGGATGTATGGGATAGGGTAATCAGTCAGAAGGTTGGGTAAGTGTCAGGATGTATGGGGTAGGGTAATCATTCAGAAAGTGTGGTAAGAGTCAGGATGTATGGGGGAAGGGTAATCATTCAGAAGGTGTGGTAAGAGTCAGGATGTATTGGGGTAGGGTAATCATTCAGAATGTGTGGTAAGAGTCAGGATGTATGGGGGTAGGGTAATCAGTCAGAATGTGTGGTAAGAGTCAGGATGTATGGGGTAGGGTAATCAGTCAGAAGGTGTGGAAAGAGTCAGGATGTATGGGGGTAGGGTAATCATTCAGAAAGTGTGGTAAGAGTCAGGATGTATGGGGGAAGGGTAATCAGTCAGAAGGTTGGGTAAGTGTCAGGATGTATGGGGTAGGGTAATCAGTCAAAAGGTGTGGTAGAGTCAGGAAGTATGGGGGAAGGGTACTCATTCAGAAGGTGTGGTAAGAGTCAGGATGTATGGGGGTAGGGTAATCATTCAGAGGATGTGGAAAGAGTCAGGATGTTTGGGGTAGGGTAATCAGTCAGAAGGTGTGGTAAGAGTCAGGATGTATGGGGTAGGGTAATCAGTCAGAAGTTGTGGTAAGAGTCAGGATGTATGGGGTAAGGTAATCAGTCAGAAGGTGTGGTAAGAGTCAGGATGTATGGGGTAGGGTAATCATTCAGAAGGTATGGTAAGAGTCAGGAAGTATGGGGGAAGGGTAATCATTCAGAAGGTGTGGTAAGAGTCAGGATGTATGGGGTAGGGTAATCATTCAGAAGGTGTGGTAAGAGTCAGGATGTATGGGGTAGGGTAATCATTCAGAAGGTGTGGTAAGAGTCAGGATGTAAGGGGTAGGGTAAGCAGTCAGAAGGTGTGGTAAGAGTCAGGATGTATGGGGTAGGGTAATCAGTCAGAAGGTGTGGTAAGAGTCGGGATGTATGGGGGTAGGGTAATCAGACAGAAGGTTGGGTAAGTGTCGGGATGTATGGGGGTAGGGTAATCATTCAGAAGGTGTGGTAAGAGTCAGGATGTATGGGGTAGGGTAATCATTCAGAAGGTGTGGTAAGAGTCAGGATGTATGGGGTAGGGTAATCAGTCAGAAGGTGTGGTAAGAGTCGGGATGTATGGGGGTAGGGTAATCAGACAGAAGGTGTGGTAAGAGTCAGGATGTATGGTGGTAGGGTAATCAGTCAGAAGGTGTGGTAAGTGTAGGGATGTATGGGGGTAGGGTTTTCATTCAGAAGGTGTGGTAAGAGTCAGGATGTATGGGGTAGGGTAATCATTCAGAAGGTGTGGTAAGAGTCAGGATGTATGGGGTAGGGTAATCAGTCAGAAGGTGTGGTAAGAGTCGGGATGTATGGGGGTAGGGTAATCAGACAGAAGGTGTGGTAAGAGTCAGGATGTATGGTGGTAGGGTAATCAGTCAGAAGGTGTGGTAAGTGTAGGGATGTATGGGGGTAGGGTTTTCATTCAGAAGGTGGGGTAAGAGTCAGGATGTATGGGGGTAGGGTAATCAGACAGAAGGTGTGGTAAGAGTCAGGATGTATGGGGTAGGGTAATCAGTCAGAAGGTGTGGTAAGAGTCAGGATGTATGGGGTAGGGTAATCAGTAAGAAGGTGTGGTAAGAGTCAGGATGTATGGGGGTAGGGTAATCATTCAGAAGGTGTGGTAAGAGTCAGGATGTAAGGGGTAGGGTTATCAGTCAGAAGGTGTGGTAAGAGTCAGGATGTATGGGGTAGGGTAATCAGAAGGTGTGGTAAGAGTCAGGATGTATGGGGGTAGGGTAATCATTCAGAAGGTGTGGTAAGAGTCAGGATGTATGGGGTAGGGTAATCATTCAGAAGGCGTGGTAAGAGTCAGGATGTATGGGGGTAGGGTAATCAGTCAGAAGGTGGGGTAAGAGTCAGGATGTATGGGGTAGGGTAATCAGTCAGAAGGTTGGGTAAGTGTCGGGATGTATGGGGGTAGGGTAATCATTCAGAAGGTGTGGTAAGAGTCAGGATGTATGGGGGTAGGGTAATCATTCAGAAGGTGGGGTAAGAGTCAGGATGTATGGGGGTAGGGTAATCATTCAGAAGGTGTGGTAAGAGTCAGGAAGTATGGGGGAAGGTTCATCAGTCAGAAGGTTGGGTAAGAGTCAGAATGTATGGGGGTAGGGTAATCATTCAGAAGGTGTGGTAAGAGTCAGGATGTATGGGGGTAGGGTAATCAGTCAGAAGGTGTGGTAAGAGTCTGGATGTATGGGGGTAGGGTAATAAATCAGAAGGTGTGGTAACAGTCAGGATGTATGGGGGACTGGTAATCAGTCAGAAGGTGTGGTAAGAGTCAGGATGTATGGGGGTAGGGTAATCATTCAGAAGGTGTGGTAAGAGTCAGGATGTATGGGGGTAGGGTAATCAGTCAGAAGGTGTGGTAAGAGTCTGGATGTATGGGGGTAGGGTAATCATTCAGAAGGTGTGGTAACAGTCAGGATGTATGGGGTAGGGTAATCATTCAGAAGGCGTGGTAAGAGTCAGGATGTATGGGGGTAGGGTAATCAGTCAGAAGGTGGGGTAAGAGTCAGGATGTATGGGGTAGGGTAATCAGTCAGAAGGTTGGGTAAGTGTCGGGATGTATGGGGGTAGGGTAATCATTCAGAAGGTGTGGTAAGAGTCAGGATGTATGGGGGTAGGGTAATCATTCAGAAGGTGGGGTAAGAGTCAGGATGTATGGGGGTAGGGTAATCATTCAGAAGGTGTGGTAAGAGTCAGGAAGTATGGGGGAAGGTTCATCAGTCAGAAGGTTGGGTAAGAGTCAGGATGTATGGGGGTAGGGTAATCATTCAGAAGGTGTGGTAAGAGTCAGGATGTATGGGGGTAGGGTAATCAGTCAGAAGGTGTGGTAAGAGTCTGGATGTATGGGGGTAGGGTAATAATTCAGAAGGTGTGGTAACAGTCAGGATGTATGGGGGACTGGTAATCAGTCAGAAGGTGTGGTAAGAGTCAGGATGTATGGGGTGGGGTAAGAGTCGGGATGTATGGGGGACTGGTAATCAGTCAGAAGGTGTGGTAAGAGTCAGGATGTATGGGGTGGGGTAAGAGTCGGGATGTATGGGGGACTGGTAATCAGTCAGAAGGTGTGGTAAGAATGAAGTCAGATGAGGACACATCAGAGTTAGGCTGTTTTAGGTTATAAAGGTAGAAGGGATTTTCAATATAGTCTTAACATTGTTATCATTTGAAAAAAATTGATATTGTATGTTACATTATCCTCCTCAGCCCTACCAAGTACAATCATTGATACAATTTCAGACTACCCATTCGTAAACAATTGAAATTTCCTGTTTTTTTTTCCAGGTTTTAGTATTCCTTGACAGCCATTGTGAAGTTAATACAGATTGGTTACAGCCTTTATTAACCAGAATCATTGACAACCGTGTCAATGTTGTTGTACCAGTTATTGATATTATCAATGCTGACACCATGGAGCTTCAAACTTCACCACTGGTGGTTGGAGGATTTAACTGGGGACTACATTTTAGATGGGATCAACTACCTGTACATGTTCGAGATAACCCTGATGTAGCCTCAAATCCTGTAAAGTAAGTTATATAAAACTGAGAATGGAAATGGGGAATGTGTCAAAGAGACAACAAACCGAGGAAAGAGCAGAAAACCGCCCAAGACCACCAATGAGTCTTCAACGCAGCAAGAAAATCCCGCACCCAGAGGCGTGGTACAGCTGGCCCCTAAACAATAATGTATACTAGTTCAGCGAAAATGGACGTCACTGTAAACTCTGAAACATATAAATGAACCCAAATATTTTAAAATACCAAAACAAGACAAAGTAGGTAAGTCATTCACTCATAAATAAACACCAAAATATACTGTACTAGGTCAGTCATTCACACATAAATAAACATCAAAATGTACAGGACTAGGTCAGTCATTCACACTTAAATAAACACCAAAATGTACTGTACTAGCTAGGTTAGTCATTCATACATAAATAAACACCAAAATGTACTGTACTAGGTCAGTCACTCACACATAAATAAACATTAAAAAATTATTAAATTGGAAATTAATTTTGCTTGGACTAATTTTTTAAGAAAAACTATTTTCATGGAAAAGATGCACACTTGTAGATGCATCATATAACTCAATGTTCTTGAGATAAATTCACACCAAGCCATCTTGATGACCTGGGATGTGTTGTTTTTTTTTAAACCCTAGATGTGAATATCCACAAATAGTGAAAACCAAAATTGACCCTAAATATTCAATTGCACTTTGTTTAGTATAAATCAAAATCAATTTGTTTCTAGAAAAAGTCCATCCTAAGTTGCTCTGTAGCTGGTAACATTTTTGAGTTATTAGTGCATTAATATACTCATGCAATAATATGTTCTTTTGAAATGCAATGTAAAATTACCCTTTCCATGCCATAATAATTGAAAAATATCTAAATCTCTTATGTTGTTAGCCTTTCCTGAAAAGTAATATGTTTGATTATAATCAATCTGGACTATAAAATCATAAAACCTGTAAGTAACTGCCTTTACAGTGCTTTTATGCTTTGATTTTTATCAACTAATCATATAATATATAAATTGTATTGAAAATTCAACCATGAGTTATGTAACCAAGGGTTAAAAAGAAGTTGAACCAAAGAATTTTTACCCTTGGTTATGTAACCCTCATCTTCGCTAGCCAAGGGTTACAATCCACTTTCCTCCTCTCCACCCTTGGCAGATTAAGCCAAAATTTGTGATAACAATGTTGCGCCATCTATTGGTAGATTAAAGTCACGCCCATTCCCAATACATTATTCTTGACCAATGGTAGCACTTGAACTCTTCAATTTGGAGGTAAAAACACGGTAGTGTCTGGATTCTACACACTTGGTAAAGCAGGAAACGAAAATATACGTTGACATTCATGCATTTGTGCAAGAAACATACACAGGAACTTCTATTAGTTGATTAAAAACATTCAAATTGTCACTAAATATAGTTGTATGTTTAGGGATGTAAAGACTTGTTGCACAATAAGCATGTGGCAATTGTTTACATACACTTTCTACATTTACACGTGATCATGTTATAGGCGCTTTTTGATTGGATGCAGCTAGTTTCAACTGCAACCAATGAAAATCATTACCTTGTGTTTCCGAAATTCTATCTCAATCCGCCAAGGGTGGAGAGGAGGGAAGTGGATCATAACCCTTGGCTAGCGAAGATGTGTAACCCTCTGTTAAATGATTTAATAAAGGGTTGAATTTAACCAAGGGTTATATTTAACCAAGAGATGAACAACCTGGTCCTGGGGTTTTAGACTGATGGATGAACTTGGTTTTTTTTAACTGTCCCGACTAAGAGCATTACATTGTAGTGAAGGACATTAAACTACCTATAATAAACAAGCTTGCTTGCAGTTAACATTTACACACGGTTTGGGATTTTAGACATAAATAACTGTCAAACCTTAATGAAATGTGGACAGAAGTTTCTTCTTCATAAAAGAAAATAGCGTGTGAAAAATAGTTTGTTTTGATTTTACTGTATTTTATTACTGATAAACTGACTGAATTTTTTGGCTATTTACATTACAGTTTTAATTCTTCTGTATTTTATAACTGATAAATGGACTGAGTTTTTGGCCATTTACATTACAGTTTTAATTTTTCTGTATTTCATTACTGATAAATGGACTTCTTTTGTTACCTATTCTGACATCGGACTCGGACTTCTTTTAAACTGAGTTTTACTGTGCGTATTGCTATGTTTCTTTTTTCTACATTGACTAGAGGTATAGGGGGAGTTTTGAGATCTCACAAAACATGTTTAACCCCGCCGCATTTTTGCGCCTGTCCCAAGTCAGGAGCCTCTGGCCTTTGTTAGTCTTGTATGTTTTTTAATTTTAGTTCATTTATATGTTTTGGAGTTTAGTGTAACGTCCATTTTCACTGAACTAGCACACAATTTTATTTAGGGGTCAGCTGAGGACCACCTCCGGGTGCGGGATTTTCTCACTGCATTGAAGACCCATTGGTGGCCTTCGGCTGTTGTCTGCTCTTTGGTCGGTTTGTTGTCTCTTTGACATATGCCCCATTTCCATTCTCAATTTTATTAGTTTTTGGCAATCATACCACATCTCCTTATTTTTATAAAGGGAAGAGTAGGATACCTAGTGATTTGGTGTCAACAGATCAAGGTTACTTTTACAAAGCAAGGGACCATCATAATGTTATCTTATTTCAGGTCCCCCACTATGGCTGGAGGTTTATTTGCTATGGACAGAAGCTACTACTTTGAATTGGGTGAATATGATTCTGGAATGGATATCTGGGGTGGAGAGAATTTAGAACTGTCTTTCAGGGTAAATATTTGGAAGGAATATATCTGAGTTGGAGAATATTAAGAACTGTCTTGTAGGGTAAATATCTGGAATGGATATCTGAGGTAGAGAAATTAAAACTGTTTCAGAGTAAATATCTGGAATGGATTTCTGGGGTGGGTAGAATTTAGAACTGTCTTTCGGGGTAAATATCTGAAATGGATATCTTTGGTGGAGAATATTAAAAGCTGTCTTTTAGGGTTAATATCTGGAATGGATATCTTGGGTGGAGAATATTAAAAAGCTGTCTTTCAAGGTAAATATCTGGAGGTTAAAGAATTAAGAACTGTCTTTCATCGTAAATATGTTAAATGGATATCTTGGATGGAAAGTTTTTAGAACTGTCTTTTAGGATAAATATTGGGGATAGATATCTTGGGTGGAGTTTATTTAGAACTGTCTTTCAGGGTAAATGTGTGGAATGGATATCCTGGGTGGAGTTAATTTAGAACTGTCTTTCAGGGTAAATGTGTGGAATGGATATCTTGGGTGGAGAGAATTTAGAACTGTCTTTCAGGGTAAATGTGTGGAATGGATATCTTGGGTGGAGAGAATTTAGAACCGTCTTTCAGGGTAAATGTATGGAATGGATATCTTGGGTGGAGAGAATTTAGAACTGTCTTTTAGGGTAAATGTGTGGAATGGATATCTTGGGTGGAGAGAATTTAGAACTGTCTTTTAGGGTAAATGTATGGAATGGATATCTTGGGTGGAGAGAATTTAGAACTGTCTTTTAGGGTAAATGTGTGGAATGGATATCTTGGGTGGAGAGAATTTAGAACTGTCTTTTAGGGTAAATGTATGGAATGGATATCTTGGGTGGAGCGAATTTAGAATTGTCTTTCAGGGTAAATGTATGGAATGGATATCTTGGGTGGAGAGAATTTAGAATTGTCTTTCAGGGTAAATGTGTGGAATGGATATCTTGGGTGGAGAGAATTTAGAACTGTCTTTCAGGGTAAATGGGTGGAGAGAATTTAGAACTATCTTTCAGGGTAAATGTATGGAATGGATATCTTGGGTGGAGAGAATTTAGAACTGTCTTTCAGGGTAAATGTGTGGAATGGATATCTTGGATGGAGAGAATTTAGAACTGTCTTTCAGGGTAAATGTATGGAATGGATATCTTGGGTGGAGAGAATTTAGAACTGTCTTTCAGGGTAAATGTGTGGAATGGATATCTTGGATGGAGAGAGTTTAGAATTATCTTTCAGGGTAAATGTATGGAATGGATATCTTTGGTGGAGAGAATTTAGTACTGTCTTTCAGGGTAAATGTGTGGAATGGATATCTTGGGTGGAGAGAATTTAGAATTATCTTTCAGGGTAAATGTATGGAATGGATATCTTGGGTGGAGAGAATTTAGAACTGTCTTTTAGGGTAAATGTGTGGAATGGATATCTTGGGTGGAGAGAATTTAGAACTGTCTTTTAGGGTAAATGTATGGAATGGATATCTTGGGTGGAGAGAATTTAGAACTGTCTTTTAGGGTAAATGTGTGGAATGGATATCTTGGGTGGAGAGAATTTAGAACTGTCTTTTAGGGTAAATGTATGGAATGGATATCTTGGGTGGAGCGAATTTAGAATTGTCTTTCAGGGAAAATGTATGGAATGGATATCTTGGGTGGAGAGAATTTAGAATTGTCTTTCAGGGTAAATGTGTGGAATGGATATCTTGGGTGGAGAGAATTTAGAACTGTCTTTCAGGGTAAATGGGTGGAGAGAATTTAGAACTATCTTTCAGGGTAAATGTATGGAATGGATATCTTGGGTGGAGAGAATTTAGAACTGTCTTTCAGGGTAAATGTGTGGAATGGATATCTTGGATGGAGAGAATTTAGAACTGTCTTTCAGGGTAAATGTATGGAATGGATATCTTGGGTGGAGAGAATTTAGAACTGTCTTTCAGGGTAAATGTGTGGAATGGATATCTTGGATGGAGAGAATTTAGAATTATCTTTCAGGGTAAATGTATGGAATGGATATCTTTGGTGGAGAGAATTTAGTACTGTCTTTCAGGGTAAATGTGTGGAATGGATATCTTGGGTGGAGAGAATTTAGAATTATCTTTCAGGGTAAATGTATGGAATGGATATCTTGGGTGGAGAGAATTTAGAACTGTCTTTCAGGGTAAATGTGTGGAATGGATATCTTGGGTGGAGAGAATTTAGAACTGTCTTTCAGGGTAAATGTATGGAATGGATATCTTAGGTGGAGAGAATTTAGAACTGTCTTTTAGGGTAAATGTGTGGAATGGATATCTTGGGTGGAGAGAATTTAGAACTGTCTTTTAGGGTAAATGTATGGAATGGATATCTTGGGTGGAGAGAATTTAGAACTGTCTTTTAGGGTAAATGTGTGGAATGGATATCTTGGGTGGAGAGAATTTAGAACTGTCTTTTAGGGTAAATGTATGGAATGGATATCTTGGGTGGAGAGAATTTAGAACTGTCTTTCAGGGTAAATGTATGGAATGGATATATTGGGTGGAGAGAATTTAGAATTGTCTTTCAGGGTAAATATGTGGAATGGATATCTTGGGTGGAGAGAATTTAGAACTGTCTTTCAAGGTAAATGGGTGGAGAGAATTTAGAACTATCTTTCAGGGTAAATGTGTGGAATGGATATCTTGGGTGCAGAGAATTTAGAACTGTCTTTCAGGGTAAATGTATGGAATGGATATCTTGGGTGGAGAGAATTTAGAATTATCTTTCAGGGTAAATGTGTGGAATGGATATCTTGGATGGAGAGAATTTATAATTATCTTTCAGAATAAATGAATGGAATGGATATCTTGGGTGGAGAGAATTTAGAACTGTCTTTCAGGGTAAATGTGTGGAATGGATATCTTGGGTGGAGAGAATTTAGAATTATCTTTCAGGGTAAATGTATGGAATGGATATCTTGGGTGGAGAGAATTTAGAACTGTCTTTCAGGGTAAATGTATGGAATGGATATCTTGGGTGGAGAGAATTTAGAACTGTCTTTCAGGGTAAATGTATGGAATGGATATATTGGGTGGAGAGAATTTAGAATTGTCTTTCAGGGTAAATATGTGGAATGGATATCTTGGGTGGAGAGAATTTAGAACTGTCTTTCAAGGTAAATGGGTGGAGAGAATTTAGAACTATCTTTCAGGGTAAATGTGTGGAATGGATATCTTGGGTGGAGAGAATTTAGAACTGTCTTTCAGGGTAAATGTATGGAATGGATATCTTGGGTGGAGAGAATTTAGAATTATCTTTCAGGGTAAATGTGTGGAATGGATATCTTGGATGGAGAGAATTTATAATTATCTTTCAGAATAAATGAATGGAATGGATATCTTGGGTGGAGAGAATTTAGAACTGTCTTTCAGGGTAAATGTGTGGAATGGATATCTTGGGTGGAGAGAATTTAGAATTATCTTTCAGGGTAAATGTATGGAATGGATATCTTGGGTGGAGAGAATTTAGAACTGTCTTTCAGGGTAAATGTATGGAATGGATATCTTGGGTGGAGAGAATTTAGAACTGTCTTTCAGGGTAAATGTGTGGAATGGATATCTTGGGTGGAGAGAATTTAGAACTGTCTTTCAGGGTTAATGTGTGGAATGGATATCTTGGGTGGAGAGAATTTAGAACTGTCTTTCAGGGTAAATGTGTGGAATAGATATCTTGGGTGGAGAGAATTTAGAATTATCTTTCAGGGTAGAGTCTTGCTGATTTATTCTTATACATCAAGATAACGTGGTCATTTGATTTTTTTTAGTTTATATATATATGAACACTCCATAGAATTTACAACTGTCTTTCTCAGACACTGCAATTGAATTCTCAAATCAAAGCATGATCTACATTATACATGACAATTGTAAATATTTAAATATTTTTTAGAAGTTCTAATGTAAAAATTGTTTTAATGTTCTGAACTAGAATATGAAACATCAACATGAGCCTGTCAACCATTGCACCAATTTTTTTTACAAAGTTGAAATTCTTTTCTTAACTTTTGGGAAAGTAATGCTGAATTTAAATTATGTGATGAGCTTTTTATGAAAGGGTTTGTGTCCAATTTGTGCCACTTAACATGCTGTAATAAATAAATATACCACTTTGATCTGTCGAACTTCTGACGAAGTGGTACTGATAGTAATTTATGGGTTACATCCCTTTGTTGACAATAATAGAACATATTTGTACTATAATGACACCAAATAAAATTCTACTGCATAAAGTTTAGGATTAGCAAAAATATCCATAAATACTTAATGTAGACAATTATTTAAATGTCAGATTTAATGTGGAATTCCCTTGCTATATTTATATCTATATATATATTAAGAGAAGTAATAATCAAAGCTATGTAAATTATTCATAAAAAATATAATTTAGAACAAATGTAGAATAAAATGAAATTTGTTTGGAATCTGTATGTTTACAATCATAGATTTGATTGTTGTTTTCAATTTAAACTTTTTTATAGATATATATATATATTAAACTAATTAAATTGAAATTTTATAAATCTTATCTCAAATTGTAAAACGAAACATAAATGATAAAAAAATTTTAATAATAAAGATTCAATCTTACCTCCTTTTTTCCATTTAACAAAAATATACAGGGCTATTTCAGTGAGGTATTTTTAGAGCTAAGTAATTTTTCTGTTCTGAACTTTTTTTTTGTTGTAATTATGAAAATGCCAGTCTAGTTTCATTCAATAAGAGTTGTTAAAGTGCAAGTCTGACAGAGATTGTTTTAAATCCAAAGACTAAGACTTTTATTCTACCATTTTACATGCAATATTGGTATTCACTTGAAACTTTTACAGTAGTCATCATTCACAAAATTCATAAAATATTTATATCAGTACAGTAATACATATTTCCACATCAATAAAATTGTTAAACAAATAACTAAAAGTGTCAATCACAGATACTTTAAAATTTATTGCAATTTATTTATCCCTTTTATTTTAACAGTTAACAGTAAACACTTTTTCAAGTTCAGCATAGATATCAATAAACTAAAGGGCATGCAAGATATACTATTCTATTTCCAAAATATCTTGTAGTGTCAATGAATGAATTTTGATTTTTTTTTTTTCATCTTTATTTTAACTTGTGCACAGACAGTATAAAACTATCTTACCTTTTTGTTTCACTTGAGATAAAACATGTTCAATGCTGAAAGTGAAGAATTGATCCACACAAACTCACAGCTGAATTCACAACTGCTTTCAAACAGCTGTGCATTTAGCAACAAACTAACTTTGTGTACATTCAGATGTAGATATTGATGTGTGAGACACAAAAACTATTATGTCATTAAATGTTCTTCAATCTTATTAGTTAAAACAGAGTTTCTTAATGGATGGCTATCTAGACATGAAATATTTTTTAACGTTGAGATACATATCATGCATATTATATTTTTTTACTTCTGTAGAATATATAAAATCTTAACGGTGTAAGTGTATCTGTGAAAACTGAGGGAAAAACTAACAGACAATTTCGTATTAAATTCTTTATTTTTAGATTTTATTATTTTTTAACGTATTTGCTTTTGGATGGCCAATTTTAATAATATTTTCTATTATAATCTACAGAAAAAGAAAGCCCACAATTACTTACTCCAAGCACAAGTAAGAATCAGAAAACAGAAAAATTTCCAAATTTGGTGCCTATTACATTTTTCTGCGAAAGTAAAACAAATTATGGATTTATCTATCTGACCCATTGTTGTGTAAATATATCCACAACAGACATTACCAAGGGCCATTCCGACTGGTTCAGCCATCAAGGAATCACCAAATATACTGGACAGCATGATGAACCACCAAATATACTGGACAGCATGATGAACCACCAAATATACTGGACAGTATGATGAACCACCAACACCTTACTATTTTAGAAAGTTTCATGATTATTCATTTTTTTTAGATCTGGCAGTGTGGAGGGAGGTTGGAGATAGTACCTTGCTCCCATGTTGGACATATTTTTAGGAAGCGACGTCCATATGGATCTTATGGTGAAGGAGATACAATGTTGAAGAATTCTCTGAGAGTGGCCAATGTTTGGATGGATGACTACAAGGTAAAGCTTATACTTCTGTAACCATGATTACATTATTATTTCAACATACTGATATATTGAATACTACTGTATCTTTTTGATATAAAATGATACATTCAGGAAATTTACTACCTGTTGAAACACATTAAAGGTGATTTGATTACTGAGATACATGTCTTTCATCATGTTTCCTGATTTATTTTGTTTGATGTAAACATGAAATAGTCATGTATTTAAAAAATGTAAAACTTTAACAAATCACTAGAAGAAAGTTGTGCATAGCTACTTGTAATTCTTTCAAAAGGTTGATGGTAACAAAAATGTTAAAAAAAAAACAGTGACATGTTGTCATTCTGGTTTACATGAAATCTCCTGTAACCTTTGGCATGTTGTCATTCTAATTTAGCTACAGCCTCCTGTAACCTTTGCCATATTGTCATTCTAATTTAGCTACAGCCTCCTGTAACCTTTGCCATATTGTCATTCTAATTTAGCTGCAGTCTCATGTAACCTTTGACATGTTGTCATTCTAATTTACATGCAGTCTCCTGTAACCTTTGACATATTGTCAATCTAATTTACATGCAGTCTCATGTAACCTTTGACATGTTGTCGTTCTAATTTACATGCAGTCTCCTGTAACCTTTGGCATGTTGCCATACTAATTTACCTGCAGTCTCCTGTAACCTTTGACATATTGTCATTCTAATTTACATGCAGTCTCAATCTAATTTACCTGTAATCTCATGTAACCTTTGACATGTTGTCATTCTAATTTACATGCAGTCTCCTGTAACCTTTGACATGTTGCCATACTAATTTACCTGCAGTCTCCTGTAACCTTTGACATATTGTCAATCTAATTTACCTGCAGTCTCCTGTAACATTTGACATATTGTCATTCTAATTTACATGAAGTCTCATGTAACCTTTGGCATGTTGCCATACTAATTTACCTGCAGTCTCCTGTGACCTTTGACATATTGTCAATCTAATTTACCTGCAGTCTCCTGTATCCTTTGACATATTGTCAATCTAATTTACCTGCAGTCTCATGTAACCTTTGGCATGTTGCCATACTAATTTACCTGCAGTCTCCTGTGACCTTTGACATATTGTCAATCTAATTTACCTGCAGTCTCCTGTAACCTTTGACATATTGTCAATCTAATTTACCTGCAATCTCCTGTAACCTTTGGCATGTTGTCATTCTAATTTACATGCAGTCTCCTGTAAACTTATTGTTTTTGGCAGTATTTAATTTCCTTTGTATTTTTACAATTGTTGACTAAGAAGAAGGTGTGAGCTGTATATATATGTATATATAGGTAAATCATAATACATTATTGATTGTATTTTCACATATTTTTTCAGAAATATTTTTATAAACAGAGACAACAGCCTACAGATGTGTCTTATGGGGATATTTCAGACAGAGTTGCATTAAGGAAAAGACTTCATTGTAAATCATTTGAATGGTATCTCAGTAATGTTTATCCTGAACAGGTATGTGTTATTATTATACGACTGCACAAAGGGGCCAAAAATAAGCATTTTTGTAACTTCCAGACAATAACTTGTGTTTAATTGTATGGATCTCTCTGAAATTATACCACAAGTTTCCATACCACAAAGGGATGGTTAGGATTGGCTTTGGGGGGTTATGACTCAAACCGTTTAGGAATTAGGGGCAAAAAAGGGGGAAAAACAAGGGTTTCCCGGTTAATGGACAATTTAAAAGCAGTGTAAGGGAGGTAATCCAAAAACAAAATTGTACAATGTTGGATTACCTCCCTTACACTGCTTTTAAATTATCTATTTAAGACTTTTATGATGTATTTAAATGGGTAATTATGGTTGCAAACTCCATTGGTAATTTGAATTGAGATTATGACCATATCTTGATGGAAAGAATTTTTTTTTTGAAAAAGGGGGGGGGGGGGAGGGGGGCAATTTTTTCTCATTTCAGATTTCAGAAATTATAATTTTTTCACATATTTTTTTTTTTTTTTAAAAAGGTGGGGGGGGGGATTTTTTTTTTTTTGGGGGGGGGTCAATACACAACAGCATAGTGTATTGCACAAAAGCAACAAAAAAAAATGGGTTAATTTTTATATATTTTTTTTTTGGGGGGGGGGGGGGGGGGGTCAATTTGCATAGGCTCAGTGTATTGCACTTAAGCAAAAAAATGAATATAAATTCAAATCATATAACCAATTCTAAGTTCTTTGACTACAGTTATTCTGTGTCAGAAACCTATTATGTGTCAAATATTTAATTACAATCCAAATTCAGACCTGTATCAAGCACGAATATTGTGTCCATTTTTGCCCCAACTGTTCAGGGTTGGACCTCTGCGGTCGTATCCAGCTGCACCCGGCAAAGCAATTTATTTTTCAAGTTGTACACAGTAGGACAAACAAATAAACATGTGAAGAGGTTTAAGTAGAACATATGCATAAACATGTGTAGAGGTTTAAATAGGACAGACATATAAATGTGTGAAGAGGTTAAAGTAGGACAGACACATGACATATGAAGAGGTTTAAGTAGGACAGACATATAAACATGGGTAGAGGTTTTACTAGGACAGACACATAAACATGTATAGAGGTTTAAGAAAGACATACACCTAAACATTGGAAGAAGTTTAAGCAAGACAGACATATAAACATGTGTAGAGGTTTAAGTAAGACAGACACATAAACATGGGTAGAGGTTTAAGTAGGACAGACACATTAACTTGTGTAGAGGTTTAAGTAGGACAGACGCATACACTTGTGTAGAGGATTAAGTAAGACAGACACATAAACATGGGTAGAGGTTTAAGTAGGACATACACATTAACTTGTGTAGAGGTTTAAGTAGGACAGACACATTAACTTGTGTAGAGGTTTAAGTAGGACAGACGCATACACTTGTGTAGAGGTTTAAGTAAGACAGACAGATAAACATGGGTAGAGGTTTAAGTAGGACAGACATATTAACTTGTGTAGAGGTTTAAGCAAGACAAACACATAAACTTGTGGAGAGGTTTTAGTAGGACAGTAGGACAGACACTTAAACTTGAGTAGAAATTTAAGTAGGATAGACATATAAACTTATGTAGAGGTTTAAGTAGGACAGTCACATAAACATTAGTAGAGGTGTAAGCAGGACAGACACATACATTTGTGAAGATGTTTAAGCAGGACAGACTCTTAAACTGTTTTTTAAAAAAGGTGACACTTCTGTAGATATAGACAATGCAATTTCCCATAGAAACTCCTTTTACGGCTAAAACTGTGCCACTTTTACAATGAAGTTTTCATAAAAAAGTATATCCTAGAATGGAAAGTTTATACGGTATGCACTACTATTTTTTTCAAAGGTCAAAACATAGGTCTGTACGGCATATTTCAGCATTTATATGCAACCAACTTCTAAGAGTTCAAACTTATACTAAAATTCTGTACTATCCATGCCTTCACTTTGGTTCTTCCTCAGAATTCAATTTGGCTGCTATCCATGTGTATTTAAACTGGTAAAATTCCCAAGTTGTGTCTCTATGCGATGAAACATAGAGATCATATCTGGGAACCAGTAGGTAAACAAAACAAAATATCTATGAATATTATATCTCCCTAAAATAGGTGTGGTTTATGAAATAGCTGTATTTACAAAGTGCAACCCTTAAGAGGTTTAAGTAGGACAGACACATAATCATGTCAAGAGGTTTAAACACATGTTTTATAATTAATGTAGCTGATTATTAGTCATACTTCCTATAACTTGGATTAGCTGATTAAATTATGTTTTCAAAAAAATTATATATCTGAAAAAATGAGTCAAAAATACTAATTAACAAACGTAAGACTAATTAGTAAACGATGATGGTCCTGTACAATATACTCTATCCAGGTTTTACCAAACTCAGAAGGGATTGCTCCTGCTGTAATACATCCTCCAGAGAAAAGACTAAAGACAAAAGTGTTACGGAAAGGACAGGTATGTTATAAATTATAATGAAGCTCAGAAGGTGTGGTACATTCTTCTAGAGAAAAGAGGATAGCCAAAAGTGTTGTGGTTGGACATATATGTTACATTTTAAATTTAGTGGGTTTTCACTTTTTCTGAAGTTCATCTCTTGGGATAACAGAGAAGACTCTAAATGAACTGGTTATTTAATGATTTTACCAAATTTACATGATGTTGGTCCCACTTTGGATCAAGATGTAGAACTGTATGTTATATTCTATGTCCTAAGCAAATAGGGTAGACAAAGATGTAGAATGGAATGTTATATTCTATGTCCTAAGCAAATAGGGTAGACAAAGATGTAGAATGGAATGTTATATTCTATGTCCTAAGCAAATAGGGTAGACAAAGATGTAGAGTGGAATGTTAAATTCTATGTCCTAAGCAAATAGGTTAGACTAAGATGTAGAACTGTATGTTATTTTCTATGTCCTAAGCAAATAGGGTGGACTAAGATGTAGAACTGTATGTTATATTCTATGTCCTAAGCAAATAGGGTAGACTTAGATATAGAACGGTATGTTATATTCTATGTCCTAAGCAAATAGGGTAGACTAAGATGTAGAATGGTATGTTATTTTCTATGTCCTAAGCAAATACATTTTAAATTTAGTGGGTTTTCACTTTTTCTGAAGTTCGTCTCTTGGGATAACAGAGAAGACTCTAAATGAACTGGTTATTTAATGATTTTACCAAATTTACATGATGTTGGTCCCACTTTGGATCAAGATGTAGAACTGTATGTTATATTCTATGTCCTAAGCAAATAGGGTAGACAAAGATGTAGAATGGAATGTTATATTCTATGTCCTAAGCAAATAGGGTAGACAAAGATGTAGAATGGAATGTTATATTCTATGTCCTAAGCAAATAGGGTAGACTAAGATGTAGAACTGTATGTTATATTCTATGTCCTAAGCAAATAGGGTAGACAAAGATGTAGAATGGAATGTTAACTAAGATGTAGAACGGTATGTTATATTCTATTTAGGTGAAATGGGAAGACAGCAACACGTATATTGTATGGTATTCAGAAAAAATATATGTTATATGATATAAAAATGAGAAGATGTGGTATGATTGCCAATGAGACAACTCTCCACCAGAGACCAAATAATGTGGAAGTTAAAAACTATAGGTCACCATGCCACCATCAACAATGAGCAAAACTCATACCGCATAGTAAGCTATAAAAGACCCCAAAATGACAAATGTAAAACAGTTCAATCGAGAAAACTAACAACCTGATTTATGAACAAAACAATAAGCAAAAAACAAATATGATATACAGCATCAACCAGCAACCACAGAAATACAGGTTGTTGACTTGGGACAAGCACATCTGGTGCCAAAACCTCCCCTAATCTGTGACAGTGGTGTGACAATACAACATAAGAATGAACCATAAAAATCAGTTGAATAGGGCTTAACTCATCAGATTGATACAAAGCACACAAAAAAAATAAAAAAATGCAAAATACACAAAGTACAGATCTGAGAGTACTCACAGTTACTGAAAGCTACTTCAAAGCCAATAAAAACTTATAAACATGTATCTAAGACTAAGATATCAATCAGCACACATCCAATGGATTTAGGTTAAAGATGTCATTAACAGTCAGATAAAAACATGACCTTGTGAATGCCAAAATATAGGTATCCACAGTTTGTAGGACCGTGTATGGACTTGCGTGTATAACAATAACATTTAGTTGGGATTTAAGTTAGTCATAACTAAATCAATATATAATTTATACCGATAAAAACAATATTCAAAGATCTAATGACAATGTTGAATTTGTAACCTTATAGAATAAGTTTACTTAAAGGATTGATAACTTTATCCTGATCGTATCTAAATTTATGGGTTCAGTAAACAACATCTTCGTAAAAATAAGGATGTGCTATATACCATTTGTAAAGTTTTCTATAAGTACAGCCAAACTTTCAAACCAAATCTTTGTATCTATGATTGAATTTAGTTAAGGTTTTAAGTAATTTGTGGTAACGAAATCCTTGACTTAATGATTTACCAGCTATACATAGATAACATTCATTGAAATCAAAAATGTCACTAAAGACACGGGCAAAAGTAACTAGTTGGGATAAATAAACACCATAAGACGTCCAAAAAATAGAAAATAACAATAGGGAAATGAACAATCGTCCCTTTTATCATAAATTTTAGAGTTTCCCGTGCAAAACTGAAATATCTAAATCTAGGAAAGGACAGTTATGGCTGTTAATATTTGATTTATTTAAAGTAAGTACTTTTGGGTTAATTTCGGCAGTATATTTAGAGAATTCTTGATAATTTAACGAAAAAATGTCATCAAAATAACGGTAAGTGTTGTTCAATTAAATGTAACTAATGTGGATCTTTACTGAGCTTGGTCATATAAACTATGATTCATAACGGCCAGAGAACACAGTTATTTACTGAGCTTGGTCATATAAACTATGATTCATAACGGCCAGAGAATACAGTTATTTACTGAGCTTGGTCATATAAACTATGATTCATAACGGCCAGAGAACAGTTATTTACTGAGCTTGGTCATATAAACTGTGATTCATAACGGCCAGAGAACACAGTTATTTACTGAGCTTGGTCATATAAACTATGATTCATAACGGCCAGAGAACACAGTTATTTACTGAGCTTGGTCATATAAACTATGATTCATAACGGCCAGAGAACACAGTTATTTACTGAGCTTGGTCATATAAACTATGATTCATAACGGCCAGAGAACACAGTTATTTACTGAGCTTGGTCATATAAACTATGATTCATAACGGCCAGAGAACACAGTTATTTACTGAGCTTGGTCATATAAACTATGATTCATAACGGCCAGAGAACACAGTTATTTCGTAGTGCATTTCTTTTAGACAAAAAATGCAAATTATAAAAATTGCACCTGCTCTATCCAAAAAAGATTTTGGCAGTGTAGTGTACTACTTTTGGGAGAAATCATGTCAAAATTATAGAAAAGTCAAAAAGCTTTAACACAAAATTTGGACAATTTTAAGTTAAGGGGATCTGTAATTCAGTTTTACAGCTTCAGACATACTAATTTTTGACCTTTTCAAACTGGACCAAATCACTACTTTACCTAAAAATTCATGCCCCAAATTTTTTTTTTAAAATGTGATTTGATCCCCCTACTTTATATTATTTTATGCATAAAACATAAAGAAATAAATTTGGAAGGTGTATGAAAAAAATTTGCAAGTTATACACTGTCAACACTAGGGACTATTTGAAGACAACGAATAATCAAAAGACGATAACTGTATCCCCGGACATGTACAGGAAAAAGTCGGCTATTAAAGGGACAAACACCCTATCAACCTATTGCTACCAAAACAGTCACACACATGTAGTGTTACCACTATTAATGCTACCAAAACAGTCCCATACATGTAGTGTTACCACTGTTAATGCTACCAATATAGTCGCATACATGTAGTGTTATCACTGTTAATGCTACCAATGCAGTCACATACATGTAGTGTTATCACTGTTAATGTTAATAAGTCACATACATGTAGTGTTACCACTGTTAATGCTACCAATAAGTCCCATACATGTAGTGTTACCACTGTTAATGCTAACAATACAGTCACATACATGTAGTGTTACCACTGTTAATGCTAACAATACAGTCACATACATGTAGTGTTATAACTGTTAATGTTAACAATAAGTCACATACATGTAGTGTTACCACTGTTGATGCTAACAATAAGTCACATTCATGTAGTGTTACCACTGTTAATGCTAACAATACAGTCCCATACATGTAGTGTTTCCACTGCTAATGCTAACAATACAGTCACATACATGTAGTGTTACCACTGTTAATGCTAACAATACAGTCACATACATGTAGTGTTATTACTGTTAATGCTAACGATAAGTCACATATATGTAGTGTTACCACTGCTAATGCTAACAATACAGTCACATACATGTAGTGTTACCACTGTTAATGCTAACAATACAGTCACATACATGTAGTGTTATCACTGTTAATGCTACCAAAAACAGTTATATTCATGTACATATGTCACCAATTTGCTGTTCAATTTTTCTACATCCACAAAAATCTTGTTGCATTCCTTATGTTTGTGTAATCCTTCTCACACATAATGTGTAAAATGCCTTTTCAATATCAGTCAAAATAGCTATTGTATTTAATCTTGACCACAAAAAACAATTTTGTGTAGTCATTAATAACTGGTGGTATATTCATCAAGATGGGATACTGTTCAGATTATCTATAACTACAAAACCAATTGGTGTGGTTATTAAATCCTATTTAACTGTATTAGGCTGGTATATTCATCAAGATGGGATACTGTTCAGATTATCTATAACTACAAAACCAATTGGTGTGGTTATCAAATCCTATTTAACTGTATTAGGCTGGTATATTCATCAAGATGGGATACTGTTCAGATTATCTATAACTACAAAACCAATTGGTGTGGTTATTAAATCCTATTTAACTGTATTAGGCTGGTATATTCATCAAGATGGGATACTGTTCAGATTATCTATAACTACAAAACCAATTGGTGTGGTTATCAAATCCTATTTAACTGTATAAGGCTGGTATATTCATCAAGATGGGATACTGTTCAGATTATCTATAACTACAAAACCAATTGGTGTGGTTATTAAATCCTATTTAACTGTATTAGGCTGGTATATTCATCAAGATGGGATACTGTTCAGATTATCTATAACTACAAAACCAATTGGTGTGGTTATCAAATCCTATTTAACTGTATTAGGCTGGTATATTCATCAAGATGGGATACTGTTCAGATTATCTATAACTACAAAACCAATTGGTGTGGTTATTAAATCCTATTTAACTGTATTAGGCTGGTATATTCATCAAGATGGGATACTGTTCAGATTATCTATAACTACAAAACCAATTGGTGTGGTTATCAAATCCTATTTAACTGTATAAGGCTGGTATATTCATCAAGATGGGATACTGTTCAGATTATCTATAACTACAAAACCAATTGGTGTGGTTATTAAATCCTATTTAACTGTATAAGGCTGGGCTCAGCGAAACATTTTATTGTAGTATGTACTTGTAACTGTTGTAAGTAATTATTACTTTTCAGATTGTACATACAACGTCAGGTCTTTGTGTTCAAGGGGAGAAAGATATTTATGCTAAAAGATCGATGTTAATACTTCAACATTGTGGGCAGGCTGGCAAAGAAAAGAAATATCAGGTAATATCAATGTAAATACTCCCAACATTGTGGGAAGACTGGTAAAGAGTAGAAATATCAGGTTATATTGAGGATGTAGTTAGGGGAAATTAAAAAAGATATAGAATTTAAAATTGATACTATAAGGCAGAACAGCATTAGTTAACATGGTTAAGGAACAAAATAAACAAAAATATTGATAGGTTATGGAACTCCTTTTTGAGATATTTGATTTTTAGAAAATGGTGGGAAAAGGCTGACTTGGACTTTTACCTTATTTTTAGCGTGGCATTATTTGGGTCTCATATTTTAAGAAAAAAATCTAGAATCTGCTTTAATTTTGGTAATGACCTTTTTATGAGCTATTGAAGTATTCTATAAAAAGAAAATTCGGTGATATGGGCCAAATATTTTAACCTGTATTGAGAAAAAAAATCTAATAGTCTGACCATCTGACAAAAACTCATAAACCTGACCTGACTTAATCCTTTATGTAAAATACTCTAAAATTATGGCAGGTTGGCATAGAGAAGAAATATCAGGTTATATTGATATAAATACTCTTAACATTGTTGGCAGGCTGGCAAAGAGAAAAAAATTCAGGTTATATTGATATAAATACTCTAACAGTGTGGGCAGGCTGGCTAAGCGAAGAAATATCAGATTATATTGATATAAATACTCTAACATTGTGGGCAGGCTGGCAAAGAGAAGAAATATCAGGTTATATTGTTATAAATACTCTAACATTGTGGGCAGGCTGGCAAAGAGAAGAAATATCAGGTTATATTGATATAAATACTCTAACATTGTGGTCAGGCTGGCAAAGAGAAGAAATATCAGGTTATATTAATGTAAAATACTCTAACATTGTGGGCAGGCTGGCAAAAAGAAGAAATATCAGGTTATGTTAATGTAAAATACTCTTAACATTGTGGGCAGGCTGGCAAAGAAAAGAAATATCAGGTAATATCATTGTAAATACTCTAAAATTGTGGGCAGACTGGCAAAGAGAAGAAATATCAGGTAATATCAATGTAAAATTCTCTAACATTTTCAGGCAGGCTGGCAAAGAGCAGAAATATCAGGTAATATCAATGTAAAATACTCATTGTGGGCAGGCTGGCAAAGAGATGAAATATCAGGTTATATTGATATAGATACACTAACATTGTTGGCAGGCTGGCAAAGAGAAGAAATATCAGGTTATATTGATATAAATACTCCAACATTGTGGGAAGACTGTCAAAGAGAAGAAATATCAGGTTATGTTAATGTAAAATACTCTTAACATTGTGGGCAGGCTGGCAAAGAAAAGAAATATCAGGTAATATCATTGTAAATACTCTAAAATTGTGGGCAGACTGGCAAAGAAAAGAAATATCAGGTAATATCATTGTAAATACTCTAAAATTGTGGGCAGACTGGCAAAGAGAAGAAATATCAGGTAATATCAATGTAAAATTCTCATTGTGGGCAGGCTGGCAAAGAGAAGAAATATCAGGTTATATTGATATAAATACTCTAACATTGTTGGCAGGCTGGCAAAGAGCAGAAATATCAGGTAATATCAATGTAAAATACTCATTGTGGGCAGGCTGGCAAAGAGAAGAAATATCAGGTTATATTGATATAAATACTCTAACATTGTTGGCAGGCTGGCAAAGAGAAGAAATATCAGGTTATATTGATATAAATACTCCAACATTGTGGGCAGGCTGGCACAGAGAAAAAATATCAGGTTACATTGATATAAATACTCTTACAGTGTGGGCAGGCTGGCAAAGAGAAAAAATATCAGGTTATATTGATAGAAATACTCCAACATTGTGGGCAGGCTGGCACAGAGAGGAAATATCAGGTTATATTGATATAAATATTCTTACATTGTTGGCAGGCTGGCAACGAGAAGAAATATCAGGTTATAGTAATGTAAAATACTCTAACATTGTGGGCAGGCTGGCACAGAGAGGAATTATCAGGTTATATTGATATAAATATTCTTACATTGTGGGCAGGCTGGCAAAGAGAAGAAATCTCAGGTTATATTAATGTAAAATACTACATTGCTGCTAACACTAAGGGATATAAGCATCTATATTTGGTTAAATGTTTTTTTTTAGATTTGGCACGAGACAGTTGACAGTGAACTGATCCTAGCATCTGTGCTATGTTTAGATGTAGAATCCAAGGAACAGGGACATTCTTTTGCCAGATTAATGAAGTGCCATGGTTCTAAAGGATCTCAAGCATGGGTCTGGACAAAGAAGGTAATATTGCTCAGAATTGCCATGGTTCTAAAGGATCTGAGCATGGGTCTGGACAAACAAGGTTTATATATTGCTCATTTTCATGGATATTTGAATATTTGGTTTAGCCAATATCTGCATACAAGCCCATAGAAACTTTGTTATTTGTTAAACATTTAAATTAGTGGTTTACCTGTACCCACGAAACCCACGAAAAAATTGGTATCCAACGAATAATAATGAATCCACAGTATTCAAAAACAATATCAAATGATTAATTAAACCACTATAGGGTCAAAATTTGATACCTATATATTTTTATAATGTTGGTCTACAAGTAATTTTATACTCATATAAATGTTCAATGCAAGCAGAGGTCATATCTTCAATTATTAGTCCCCTACCGACGAAGTCGAAGGGGACTTTAGGTTTGCACTCCGTCCGTCTGTCTGTCTGTCCATCCGTCAGTCCGGATAATCAGTTTTCCGCACTTTTCGTCTTGCTTGAAGATATTGGTTTGATAATTGTTATATAGTTTTATCATGACAAGTTACAGATCAAGTTCGAATTTTCTTCCGGTCTGAAGATTTTGTGCAGAGTTATGGTCCTTGGACTTTGAAAATTCACTTAAATAATCAGTTTTCCACACTTTTTTTTAGTCTTACTTAAGAATAATTGACTTGATATTTGTTATATAGTTTACACCATGACAAGTTATAGATCAAATACGCATTTTGTTCCAGTACAATGAATTTTTAACCGGTAGAGGACTATGTATTGCCATGCAATACTCTCAGAATGCTTGTTCATGTTAAACATGTGTAAATATTTTTAATAATTATTTCACAACATGCAACTGTTCAAATTCACCTTATATCTATTATCCCAGTGGTCATACTTAATGAAGAAGTTCCTTCTTATTGGAATTGTAAGTTATAAAGGTAACTTTTAAGTAATTTATTGATGTGTAAACTCTGCCTTTCAGTCAAAAACTGAACATAATTTTCTCTTAGACTTTATTCAGTTAATGATTGAGTCAGCCAGGTTTACTTTAATATCCATAAACCCCTTCAAAATAATCTTCAATTGTATATAAAGATTACTGTGTATAAACTAAAACTGGAAAGCTCTCTGTTCCTAAAATAAGGACTTCACCTCTCTCTTGAATAATTAATGTGCCTTAGTACCAGCTGATCAGGCAGCAAACAATGGTGTGTTTGTACCAAGAATAAGATCTATGCATAGAGTCTTAAATAAATAATATGGCTGAGTACCAGCTGATCAAGCAGCAAACAATATGGTGTGTTTGTACTTAGAATAAGATCTACACTTAGAGACTTAAATAATTAACATGGCTTAGTACTAGCTGATCAGGCAGCAGGCAATGGTGTGTGTGTACCCATCTTTCTCCAGATTAATGAAACAGCAATGGGAACAAAGATGACCCTGTCTTATGCCAATATTTTTATGGGCAAATTTGAACAGCAAATTATAGATACTTTTCTTTACCAACTATTTTCTTCGTTCAGATTTATTGACGATATTGACATGAAGTGGGATAATACTGAACAAGAACTTCATGTTTTCATTGAGCATGCAAACAACGCTCATCCTTCAATTGAATTCACTCATGAAATTTCTCTCTGTAAGATCATATTCATTGACACTTCTACACAAGTGAATGGTGGAATCATATCTACAGATCTGTATTGTAAGCCAACAGACAAACATCAATATCTTTCTCCCCAAATTTGTCATCCAAAACACTGTACCAGGAGCATTCCTTACAGTCAGACCATTAGCAAACAACGCTCATCCTTCAATTGAATTCACTCATGAAATTTCTCTCTGTAAGATCATATTCATTGACACTTCTACACAAGTGAACGGTGGAATCATATCTAAGGATCTGTATTGTAAGCCAACAGACAAACATCAATATCTTTCTCCCCAAAGTTGTCATCCAAAACACTGTACCAGGAGCATTCCTTACAGTCAGACCATTAGGATTAAGTGGATTTGCTCCACCAAAAATACTATGACAAAGTGGTTACAATAACTTTGCAGCCACCTAATAAACAGGGACTACAAAAGAAAATAAATGGATAAAGAACATCAGCCGAGACAAACTTTTACAGTATAAAGAGAAAACTGTCAACCCAAGAGTTCAGTTTGTGTTGACTTATCAATCACAATCTGATAAATTGTCACACCTTATCAGCAAAAACAGGAAATATATCTAAATAAAAAGATCTTTCCCGAGCCTCCCGTACTGGCTTCTGTAGGCCCAAAAGCCTTAAAGATAGATTGGAGAGAGCTGATTTATCATCCAAACCAGGATTTTCGTCAGCAGGTTCTTGTAAGGGTTGTGGGAACAAGCCATGTCTGACTTGCAAGCAAATGCTGCACACCCAGACTTTCAACAGTCACTCGACTGACATGACATGCACCATATTTTGCAATGTTAATTGTAAGAGTACAAACACTGTATATATTCTTCAATATAAATGTGGCAAATGTTTGAATGCCCATTGTGGTGACAATGACTCCCTCTCCCTCTCAGTCAATGTTTGAGATCTCCTGGTCACTCTAAGGCAGATCTGAACTGATTGATTACCATTGTCATTGACCACAAAACTCATGGACTAAAGAGGAGAGAGTCTAGCTCTCAGGAAAGATTTTGTATACAAAAGTTGAAAACGTAGGCACCAAATGGGATCAACGTAAAGAGAAAGCTTAAATCAAGCAGTACTAGATGTGTTATTTCATTTTGAGATGTATAACTACACACTCCCTGCAGTTGTTAATACTTAATGTATATTTAGTTCACAAGATTGTAGAATACTAAAACTCTTAACTTTCTATCTTTTGTTTTTAATTAATTTGTATGAAGTTCAAGATTATTGAATTGAAATTGTAAATTTTCTACAATGTTCGGTGTTTAATTTAAATACTTAATTTGTAGCTTAGTCAATAGATTATAGAATACAAAATTCTTAACTTTCCATCTTTTGTTTTTATTTAATTTGTATGAGGTTCCAGATTATTGAATTGTAACTTAAACTTTTCTCCAATGTTTAGGTTTAATTTTGCATAATAATGGTCAAGATTTTTTTTTAATTTGCATAGCTATTGACATCATTTTACACCAGGCTGCTCATACTGATGAAGGATATTTGATATATATATATTTATCCATCAAAAGTTGATTTATACATTTGTATTGCCTTAAATGGTACTTGACAAATGTATAATTATTCAAATATTAAATCTTTTACAGAGTGGAGTGTCTTTGCTGTACAATCCTGCAACAGGAAAATGTCTGAAGGCAACCAACAAAAGTAAACGTATCTATCTTACATTAGATATATGTCAAGACAACACGGATATGGCATTTGAAATGTCAGTTCAGTAGCCTACAACACAGATACAGCATTTGAAATGTCAGTTCAGTAGCCTACAACACAGATACAGCATTTGAAATGTCAGTTCAGTAGCCTACAACACAGATACAGCATTTGAAATGTCAGTTCAGTAGCCTACAACACAGATACAGCATTTGAAATGTCAGTTCAGAAGCCTACAACACAGATACAGCATTTGAAATGTCAGTTCAGTTCAGTAGCCTACAACACAGATACAGCATTTGAAATGTCAGTTCAGTAGCCTACAACACAGATACAGCATTTGAAATTTCAGTTCAGTAGCCTACAACACAGATACAGCATTTGAAATGTCAGTTCAGAAGCCTATAAAATGGATATTAGCAACAGCATTACTAAAAAATATATGTATGCAAAAGTAACCTAAACTTTACTGTGAGATGTCAAAACAAGGCTGTTGATTTTGATTAATTAATTTTTGGGGCTATAATTTTGGCTAATACATAGTTAAGCTATCAAAATTACTTGAAAAATAACCATTTTAGAACAATATACTAATTTGAATACTGTAAGCATTAGAATTTTCATGCTTGGGTTATTGTCACTTATTTCACATATGCTTCAAATCTGCAAAAAAGTATCCCCTGTGCAAATTATTGTCAGAGAGCCAAACTATTGGCATGAAGTATATTTATGGTTGATACAGGAATGTATCACTGTGCAAAACATTTATGGTTGATACAGGAATGTATCACTGTGCAAAACATTTATGGTTGCTACAGGAATGTATCACTGTGCAAAACATTTATGCACTGAAGTTGCAAAAATAACAACCCAGGAAAATATTCCCGTTTACGATAGGTTTTTGTCTTAAAGTGAAACCACATAACATTTCTACACTAAAGTGTTTAGATTATGGGTATGACTAAGACCCCGTTCACTCTATCATTTTTTGAATCAATCTAAATTTGAATCAGATCTAAATAAAATCAGTTTGCTTTCACATTATGTTTAATCCTAATGATCTCTATTGATTTAATCTGAACCACTGCGTTCACACTACAAGTAAAAATGCAATCGATCTGCCCAAATTATCCGTGAAATTGTAAACACTGTATACAAATAGAAATATTTAATCAAATAAATGTGTTGATACATACACTTGCAAAAAAATAATGGATGGAGTTATTGTAGATACTGCTGTTCATATAGTTTTCGTTAATTTTCAGCCCTATAATGCTGGTCATACATTTTGTAATAAATTTTACGTGTAGTTTTGCCGCCATATATGCCCACAAATTAATTTCGATGTAATCATACTAGTTTAGATCGATCTCTGAGTTCACATTTAAAGTTAGATCAGTTCACTTTAGATCGATTCAAACTAAACTACCTCTTTTGGTGTTTTAATTAAGACCGATTCAAGATGGATTCAAAGCGTTCACATTGGTCTTAAATTGATCTAAAGTGAACTGATCTAGTTTAAATTGATCTAAATGTCCAAGTGTGAACTGGGTCTTATTTATTGATAAAACTTACATAATTGAAAGGTTTAAAAAATTGACTGTTTTACAATTTTATGTGGCCAAGTATTGACCATCATATCTCCTCCTTTTGTTTTCTTATTTTCCTTCATCTTCAAGTAGAAAATTTTGTGTACATAGTTTGTTTATCTATAGACCATATAACATTCTTAATTATATTCACATTTAACTTCATTTCATACTATATATATATATTGTATAATTGTATTTGGAAAAAACAATTGATACTGACGAAGGCCATTTGTTGTGCTGAAATATTTGTCAGTATATTATGTAATTTTGTTGATATATAATTATATTTTATTGTATCATAACACAAATCTTTAGACTTGTGTATATATATATATATTTGGTTGTTTGTTTATAACATGATCTTGTCTTTCTGTAAATTCTGTGTTGTGATTTAAAAGTTCATAAAGTTAAAGCTTATTGATAAGGCATATTAACTGGACGCATTAGGGGGACACTGGTGATAGGGCATACAAGCTGGACACAGGTGATAATATTTGGTAATAGGGCATACTAGCTGGACACAGCTGATAAACATTATGATGAGTGTCTTTGAGGAAGGTCTTATTGCATAGTAAATGAGTGCATGATAAAAAGATGTGATACTGTATAGATCAAGTAGATCTTGGTAAACTAATTATTTGAATGTGTATGTATGTATTAAGACACAGTTTACTAGTCAGTATATTGTATGATGTCTGAATTGTTTCTAGTCTGTCGTTAGTCTATGTTATCATCCTTAAGTTACAGGGATATAGTCAGATTTTGTCTTTCATGAGCTGTCATTAGTCATTGTAAATTATCCCTCAAGTTTATAGAGATATAATATGATATTGTATTCATGAGATTTCCATTATTCTTTATGATCTCTCCTCAAGTTTACAGAGGTATAATACAATAAGATTTTGAACAGCATTTATCAATGGATTTGTCCTGAATATGTGTGAAATACTTTCCACTGCATGTTCAGTACTTATCAACTATATTATTACATTGATGAACTATTATTTAAGAGTATGCATATAAAATGGCCACTTAATGTATTCATGTTATTTTTAATGAATCTGTAACATTGTTGATAATACACAATAATAATTTGTGTATCATTTATTGTCAATTTGACGTTAAGAAAACATACCATAAACTTGTATCTTTTATTGTGAATTGTAAGTGTAATGCAGTTAAAAGTTGATATTTCAAGTGAATATTAAATGTTTATACTTTGAATTTTAAATAGGAAACATACACAGTTAACTTGAAATATTGATAATGAATTTTATGTTTAACATTCAAATGTAAACAGTTGTGAATTTTTTAAATGTTTTTTACATGTAAAATTTATGTGAATTCAGAGTTTAATTTTATAAATCAAACTCTCAAATACATAAGAGATCTTTTGTGATAAAAGGATGACACATCAATGTTATTTAACATAATCCTTATGATACTCCAAATTGCCATATTTTTTATAATACTGAGTTTTAAGTATGCAATATATTTGATGCTGTCTATTTTATATAGTATATGTCTATGCAATAAAACTCCCTGTAGTTCGTGGGACCAAATAATTATGATATGATTCTTTATTAAAGTTTTTTTTATAGTTTTATTACATATTATGGATACAACCAAGTGATCATAAAAAAAGTGATTGTAAATGTTCTGAAACATCTTTTTGTGTTAAGGTTGAAATGATAATTGATATGTAGGTATAATATGGAAAACCAAATTAAATTGTCCATCGAACAACATTTTTAAAATGACTGGAAAAATTCATATGATTTGAATTTAACAAAATTTCATATCTTTAAATAACATGATATCCTGAATTAATTCCAGGTGTCAACATTCATTTGTCAGTTGCCATATGAACATTTCTGCCAAAAATGTAGACATTTTAAACTAAATTTGATATCCAAGTAGAATATGATATGAATTGATTTCTTGTTGAAAATAATCCATAGTCTCCTATTTTAAAAATATCTTTTGGGGATCATTTTCAAAATGTATTAAAAAATTGTCTGTGCCTTACATAAAAATATGAAAGGCTCCTGCTAACATGTCAGTTTCAAGTTTAATTTAATCTTTAGGTTTGATCAAAAATTGAATATAAGTTTTCTTTTGATTTAACTGATTTAAGTGACATGAATTTTAATAGTGTAATAAAGATGATCAAATAATGCACAAATCATGTAAAAGTAAGAAGTTGTTTGTAAAGCAATTAGTATGTTACCATGGCAATTTGTATAAAGGTTATGATCAAAATATGAATTTTAATACGTCCTCAAATAGAAATAATTTTTTGCAAGAATAAGATTTGAAATATGTAAGTATTATACTCAAGTTAATTATGAATGCAGCAACAAACATCAATGGAATTGTTTAAATCTAACATATAAGATACAGTTTTTGGTTATTATAATTATGCAGCTATATGTAAGGCTTTTTATTATCATTTATTTGGTAGCCTAAAAGAAACTTGTAAAAAATGGATCAACTTTGATGTCAGAACAATTTATTCTCTTTTGATTTTTCTTATATGAAAGTATTATACAATCTAGGAAGAGAATTTTGTTAGATGTAAATTGTGTAGTATAATCATTTTATGACCATGATGTCTTATGTCATCTGAGGTTATAACCATGACACCCAACTTCATCAAAAGTTAAAACCATGACACCTAACTTCATCAGGAGTTAAAAAACAATGATGCCTTAATTACTTCATCAGGAGTTAAAATCATGATGCCTTACTTCATCAGGAGTTTAAACCATGGTGCCTTACTTCATGATGAGTTAATACCATGACATCTTATATTCACCAGTGAATGTATTGGTTTACTCTTAATCAAGATTAATTTTACTATACATTGCTAAGCCGATGTAATTTACAAAATTACTATGGAACATTGAACAACTTAAAATTTGTCTGTTCTTCTCCACTTTTAGCTCACTATCTTCCACTTTAAGTTACTTCTACAAAAACTACTCTGAAACAAATGGATCAATTGGAACCAAACTTGACCACAATCATCCTTGGGGTTTCTAGTTTTAAAAATGTTTCCAATGATCCCATCTGCCTACCAACATGGCTGCTAAGGCTAAAAATAGAAAAAGGTTTAATATGCAAGTACAAATGTATTGTCTATTTTCTTGTAAAATCTTATAAAACTTGACAGAAATTTTCAGAATGTAGAGACTGTCAATTATGACTCAAAACTTCTTGTAGAAATGTTTGCCCTTAAATGATGAATTTTACCAATTTTTTGTGATTTTGGCTTTATTTTGAAAACTAATAGAAATAGAGAAACTTAAAAAGATAAATAAGTATAATTCGCAGGACAAGACCTTCAATTCAATCAACATGGCCAAAATCATTTGTCAGTGCCTCATAGGAGTTACTGCCCTTGAATAACCATTTTTACCCATATTTATTAGTTAATATGACCAGTAAACCTGTTATAGGAATTATTGGTCTTAAATGATGACTTTTAGCAAATTCTGTGTTTTTTGTCAAAATTATAGTAGAAAGAGAGAAATTTTGAGTAGGAAAAATCATCAGATGAACAAGATCTACTACTAAGTTAATATGGCCTTGACTAATTTTCTGTAGCTCCATATACAAATTAATGCCCTTATATGACAAATTTATCCATTCTTCTTTTTAAGTGTTTTTTTAGTAACGTTAATAGGCTCCTTGGATTATCTAGTAACTTCATGCTTTTTCTATAATAACTATTTGTGTTTTTTTGGAAAAGGTGTCTGAATATCACCATTTTACAAATAAATGTTCCAAGGTCGCTGCTAAATCTGGTTCTGGGTTTATTTTATAGCTCAGTTGCAACAAAGTCAAGCTTGACTTATAATATGATGATCGATGTCCACATTAAAGTTAACTGACAAAATCATTCAAGTCATAAGTAATATCTTGGTTTAATTTATCCCTGACAAAATGATTCAAGTCATAAGTAATATCTTGGTTTAATATATCCCTGACAAAATCATTCAAGTCATCAGTAATATCTTGGTTTAATATATCCCTGACAAAATCATTCAAGTCATAAGTAATATCTTGGTTTAATTTATTCCTGACAAAATCATTCAAGTCATAAGTAATATCTTGGTTTAATATATCCCTGACAAAATCATTCAAGTCATCAGTAATATCTTGGTTTAATATATCCCTGACAAAATCATTCAAGTCATAAATAATATCTTGGTTTAATTTATCCAGATGGAAGGAGGAAGATATCTATTGATTTAGGGTCCATATGTCAAGATTACAGCAGCTATTGCTAGACTGAAATTTTGGAAAATTTTTGGTTTCCAGATATTATCTTCTGAGCCATATGTCCAACTTTCACCAAGCTTGGTTCTATTATGCCCTGTGGGAAGAGAACAATATACTGATTATGGGGTCAATAGGTCAACAAAATTTTGGCAAGATTTTGGTTTAAGATAAAACAATTTATAAACTGAACTTTGGGCAAAACATTTGGTTTGTTTTGAGATTTCATGTTTTGAACACATGTCCAACCTTCACCAAACTTAGCTTGAGAATGCTACTAGGAATAAATACACCCTTACAATTTTTTAGTCCATAGGTCAAAGGTCATGGCCACAGTAAATGTAAAGTTCAGGAAAAGTTTTGCTTGGAGACAATACCTTTTGAGACATAAATCAAACTTATATTATATTTTTTAAGTGTTATGTGAAAAAGACTTCCAACCATTTAACATTAAAACTGTTTGATGAAACCAATAAAGATCTCAACTCAGCTCATTTTGAAGATTTTCGACATCAGAAAAGGAAACAATGGCCTAGATTGTCATCTATGAAAATCATTATTACAGAATTTCTCTGTTCCAAGGTCAACTTTTAGTTGTCTATTCTACTAAACAATATGGACTAAATATAAACTGAGACTGCTTTGTCTGTAAAAACAAAATTCCTGTGATGACATGTTGGATATATTGTGGTTCTGATTTCAGTGATACATGGTTCTGGTATGAACTATAGAAGAATAAATATAACACAACATATTATAAGATAAGTTATCAATTTTTATTGTTGTTCTCTGTAAGAACTGTATTCAATGAAATGTTTTGTGCTTGTTTGTTCCAAAGATATCTGTAAGCTTGACAAGAGATTTTCAGGAATCTGTTTTCTGTAGTAATTAAATTTCCATTCTAATCACATTTTAGACAAATTTTAGACTTATATAATTATTCAGGGTGAAAAATGGACAATCAGCTTAAAACATAGCTGTGGGACCATAGCTCTTATGGTCCTGGTGATATTTTTTGACAATTTGGAGGTCTGCAAATTGTCAAAAAATATCATAAGGACCATAAGAGCTACAGTTCCTCAGCTACTTGAAACTAGGCTATTTAATGCCTTCCTTTAAAAAAAAGTGAAAATAATCATCATCATCAGATATTGCTGTTAAGTTTTAATAACCAAAGTTTTAGTGTGGGTTTTTTTTATTAAATGCTTACATTGAATGATTTTTTATTGAGGATGCTGTGTTATTGTTCATAACCAAAAAAAGAGGCATTTTGCTCCTCATTATTGATTAGAGTTCTTTTGAAAATAGTATTTTTTTGTTATATCAGAATCATACACTATTGATTCTGAAGTTTTAATATATATTTACATATTTAACTGAAATCTAAAGATATTTTAAACCATACTTTTTTATCAATTGTAGCATTATATTATATTTGAAATGACAGAAATTTCAATAGTTATAATTTAAATGAAGACTACAAAGTTTAATTTGAGATTTTTGATTAACAGTAATCTGATTCTGTTGACACTCAAGAATATACTCCTGACCATGTGAAGTATTGTGAAGTTGTCGGTGCTATGTTGGAGAATATACTCAAATAGAATGTAGATCTGAACGTTATCATGAGATGTTATGGTGCTTTGTGGACGATGTATAATATACTCAAATAAAATTATGAATCTTAAGTTGTTCTAATTAAACAATGATATCTTGTTTTGAATATAATGAACTTTCATTTAACAAATCCCTGAATAACCTAAGTTTAAAAATAAATGTATACTACAAGTTTTTAACAAGAATGAAATACTTACTACCTTTAAAAGTCTGGTACAATGTGCATATATATATATATATATATATAATTCGTCTCAAATTTAGCCCAACAATGTTAGATCTTCAAATTTGCGTTAGCAAATTTTTGTTCTTCCCTCAGCGGGATTCGAACCCTTGCTTCTGGGACATCGTGGCAACACCGCCTAGACCCTAGACCACTCGACCACCTAGGCTACATACAAATATAGCTTTCAGTGGTCGATGTAATACCTTTCCTCGTCGGCTTTATCTAAGGTTGTAATACAGTGCATGATGTATAGTGGCAACTAGATGGTGCACTTTTCATATCAGCTATTTTGTCTGTCGTAAAGGATGATAATGTTAATAACCATGCCGCCACATCAAGTTTTGATTTTATTATACACGTCGAAACGTATGACAACTTTATGACAGACATTCTCTATCGGATAACACGTGGTTATACCGGGCTAACACCATAATATATATATAATTCGTCTAAAATTTGGCCCAGCAATGTTAGATCTTCAAATGTTTCTGCCAATGAACACCCTACAGAGAAAATATCAGAATTTATTGACCTTCTTTTAAGACCACATGTAGAAAATATACCATCTAATCTAATCTAACTTATCTTTAAACCCCCTTTGTAGAGGAACCATATTTTCATATGTAGAACAGGTGCTCTCTTTATATACAGTGCTGCTACTCCTTCCACCATTGGGCATCTAACCATATTTACATGCTCAGCTCGGGTGCTTTCTATATACAGTGCAGTTACTCCCTCCACCATTCGATATCTGATGTGCGCATATTTAAATTGAAGTCCTACCCCCAAATAATTTGCGTAAAATCCTTTATTTTTCAGTTTAGTTCACTTGATTCCAGAAATTTGTGTGGTTCCTCCAACCATGCCCTTATATATGTTGAGATAACGGAATCGCTTATTTTATTGTCACTTCGCACTAGATTTATTACTGTCCACATACCATCTTGTAACAGGCTATATGAAGTTGGTATAGCAGGCGTCGAGTAAGGCGTTCTTAAGGCGTTCTATTTGTACTACACTGACTGGAGAGAGTTTCTTTGCTTTCGCTACCGGCATTAAGTCCAGAATATGTTGTAGTTTTTCGTTCGTTGATAGTTCATCAAATTGAATTCCCATTGTGTTCAGCATTGTAGTTATTTCATGAAGTATTGCGTTCCTCACTATTCTCAAGCTTTCACATTTCAAAATAAAGTGTTCTATATTTTCTTCTTACTTTGCACATAACAGACATTTCGGAGCAGTCTCATCTTTGTACATTCTGATCCTTTTGCTCCGAAGGATATACAAGCCTGTAAGCAGCTTTATTTTACTGGCAATCTTGCTGTATCAATAGTAGAGTGGCATTTGATTTTGAGTAGAGGGTGTATATTTCCGGTTCTCACATTTTCAGTTGTTAAGAAATTGAGCCCTTTATATAATGGCTGTAACTGAACTATTGACCTTTTCCAGTGATTGTATATTGTCTTCTTGATAGTTGAGGTCCATACGGTCTTTCTAACTGGGTTGTTCAAATACCAGCTTGCCTCCTGCAGGTCATACTTTCGTAGCATATGCTTAATAGCAATGAACCAGCTAGAACTTCCATCGTTTTTTATAAGAAGTTGGCGTTTTGCAAGTGATTTTTCTACACTGTCGTCAGGCTGGTTGCAGATGTTGTTAAATAGGCCTAATGCTTGGATGTGTACTTGTGCCTCAATAGGTAGTATTCTGTTAGGATGTTAACAGTTATGTCTGCTACACAGGTTGGTAGAGAAAGTATTCGCTTTAGGAGTTTCTTCTGGAAGTTTTCAAGAAGTGTTAGTGAGCTTGTTGTTGGTAGTATCAGCTCTAATCCTTATAGTAGTACTGGAGAGATGTAAATTTGTACAGGTGCACAATTGTCTCTACGTCAAGACCGTTGTTGCCATGGAATCCTCCCCAAGCAGGCTTTAAGCACTTCGTCTTGCTTTTTTAATATTTTCTTCCACATTTGCTCTCATGTTGCCCTTGCGTGATGTAGTTCTCATGATTCCTAGATGTGTGGCTTTCTCAATTGATGGCATATCGTTTGGTCCCATTTTAAAGGTCTGGTTGTTAGATTCCTGTTTTCGCTGTTTATGGGAGATGTTCAGGACTACACTTTTTGTTGGTTGTAGTTCGTAGCCTTCCATATATGTATAGTCATAAGCCATATTAATGAGTATTTGTGCTTGATCAGGGTCTTGACTGATTAGTGCGATATCGTCTGCACATGCTGTACTATTAACACTATTTTATAGTCAGCTCCAGTTGTTTCGTACATATTAAGAAGTTGATTGATGTAGACTTTATACAGGTTAGTGCTGAGTAAACCTACTTGTCTGACTCCTTGGTTAACTTCAAATTGTTGAGAGATATTTCCTTCCCATTTGACTACACTTTTGGCGTTTTCGTGCAGGTCTTTAATCAGTCCCCAATGTCCATCATCAATCCCTGCCAAGAATACCCTTCGAAGCATGTGGCTATGTATTACTGTGTCAAATGCTGCTTTTGCATCTAGGAGTACAAGGTAGAGAGTAAGGCTGAATTCAGTGGCGATGATCCTGCTGTAAAACATCTTTGCTTTTTGTTTTGTGTTTCCAGGACACGGTCATTTGTTCGTTCTTTGGTGATAGTTTCTATAATCTTTCCTATTACTGGCAACACAGTAGTCCCTCTGTAGTTGATAGCTTGCTGCCTTGTTCCCTTGTTTTTAAATACTGGTGTTAAAAGGCCCATTTTGAGTGTTTCTGATATTCTCCCATGTTTAAATATGCACTGTACCAGGAGAACAAGAAGTTTCTCTGTATCAGATCCTGCGTAGATGATATGTTCTATTGTTATACCATGGTAGTCTGCCGATTTTCCTTTGTTTATAGAACGGATAGCTTTTGTTATTTCTTCAGATGTCACTTTTTGGTGTTATTTTGTTGTACAAGCTTGTTTATTGATTGAATATCGTCTTCAACTTAATTGTGATACAGGCTGTCTATACGTGGTTTCTCATTGAATGTTGCCAGACTGCTAAAATGTCCTTGAAATCTATAGATAATATTATCGTTCTTAACATATTTTTCACCATTGACCTCTAGTTCCATTATCGCATCATTTCCTTTTTTCCTGTTGTTACGGACCAATTTATGAAACATTTTCACATCTTTTGTCCTTGTTTCGAGGATAGTTTACTTCTTGTTTTTTGTTTGTTTAGCTAGTTCAATTCGTACTGCAAGTTTGAAGTCCTTTTTAGATTGCTTCTTCTCCATAAGCATTTTATTATTTTTGTTGTTGGGTTCCCATGATTTTTCCATACCTGATAATTTTTCCTCGCTGTTTCAGTGTTTCTGGTGTCCACACTTTCAGTTTTGCTTTGGCATTGCATGTTGCCCTTGATGATGAGGCGAGGTCGGCTGTCTCCCCTTAAGTAGTTCACACAATTTTAGTATGGCTTCCTCTACTGCTGTTTTTTACCATATTTACGTTTATTTGCAGACTGTCAATATGTGTATCAATGTGGGCAGTATGGTAGAATGGTGGTCTGATGTATTTTCTATCAGTTCGTTCAGGACTTGTTTTGCTTGAAAGTCTTGATCAGCAAGGTTATGCAAAAAGTAATCAATTTCTGAGGATTCTTGTCATATTGAATTAACAAAAGTGTTTGCCTTGTTGTCATATTTAAGCCGCATTCGTTTATAAAGTCTCGCAGGTATAGATTTTTGTGCTTGTATGTACATTCAGATCCTCGTTTGTATCTCCAATAATAATTTTATGGGTTTCATTGTATTTTTGGTAGAGCTCCTATAATTGATAAATTACGTCTTGGTATTCTGATAGATGGTTTTTTACTCCCTTTTGCTGGTAGGTATACTGATGTTAAGAGTATGTTGGAGTTGGAGTTTTCCCATCTTCGCTAGCCAAGGGTTACGATCCACTTCCCTCCTCTCCACCCTTGGCAGATTAAGCCAACATTTGTGATAACAATGTTGCGCCATCTATCGTTAGATTAAAGTCACGCCCATTCCGAATACATTATTCTTGACCAATGGTAGCACTTGAACTCTTCAATTTGGAGGTAAAAACACGGTAGCGTCTAGATTCTACACACTTGGTAAAGCAGGAAACGAAAATATAAGTTGACATTCATGCATTTGTGCAAGAAAAATACACAGGAACTTCTATTAGTTGATTAAAAACATTCAAATTGTCACTAAATATAGTCGTATGTTTAGGGATGTAAAGACTTGTTGCACAATAAGCACGTGGCAATTGTTTACATACACTTTCTACATTTACACGTGATCATGTTATAGGCGCTTTTTGATTGGATGCAGCGAGTTTCGACTGCAACCAATGACAATCAATACCTTGTGTCTCTGAAATTCTATCTCAATCCGCCAAGGGTGGAGAGGAGGGAAGTGGATCGTAACCCTTGGCTAGCGAAGATGGAGTTTTCCTTGATTTCTATATTCTGTATTATTTCTGATCCTAGGTCTATTGGTTTTATCATGTGATCATTTTTTTCTTCCATTGTATGGCTACTCCTCCGTATCCTCGAGGCATATATATTGGTAATAGCGGATCATTCATATCAACCCCCTTGCCTATATAGTTTATATGTTCATTAAGTTCACCGAGTAGATGTAGCTGTGTTTGGAACAACCAATGCTCCTGAATGAGAATCATATCATTACTTTGTAAAAGTTTATGTACGATTGCTCCACACGTTTTTATGTTTTTATAGTTGAATGAGACAAGTTGTAGTTGAGAACTCTCTGATTTTTCGACGCCTGTTTCTTCTGTTACATACGGTTCAGGTTGAGGCTTTGTAGTGCTAAAAAAGACTGTTGTGCT